ACGAAGGGACGACGATCACCGTGCTATTGACATCAGGGACACACGCTGGTGGGGGCCGCTTTAGGGACATGGGCTGGAGGGGGCTGCCCTTGAGGCTCGGGCTCACAGCCCTGCGCCCGCCCGGCAGGTTCAATAAACACCTGGACCGTGGCTTCAACTCGTGCGCGCGCAGCGACCTGTACTTCGTGCCGCTGGAGGGATCCAAGTTGGCCAAGAAGCGCGCGGACCTGGTGGAGAAAGTGCGGCGCGAGGCCGAGCAGCGCGCGCGCGAAGAAAAGGAGCGCGAGCGCGAACGGGAGCGCGAGAAGGAGCGCGAGCGCGAGAAAGAGCGCGAGCTGGAGCGCAGTGTGGTGAGTGCGTCACAAGGTGCGCCGCGCGCCTCTCCCGGTCCCGGGCTTCGCCACTCCGGTCGCTTCGCCACCTGGCGGAGGGGAGGAGCCACTGCAGCCCCGAAAGCTCAGGCTTCCAGGCAGGAGGAAAAGAAAGCTGGGAGTGGGGTGAGGCGTTTTTGGCTTTTCCCCACTGAGACAGTCGGGCGACGTGGGGCTGAGACTTCCCGGAACTGCAGTTCTGACCCCTCCTTTCTGTATCCTGCAGAAGCTGGCCCAGGAGGGCCGTGCTCCAGTGGAGTGCCCGTCTCTGGGTCCAGTGCCCCATCGGCCTCCCTTTGAGCCTGGCAGCGCTGTGGCTACAGTGCCCCCTTACCTGGGTCCTGATACTCCTGCCCTGCGCACTCTCAGCGAATACGCCCGACCTCACGTCATGTCTCCTGGCAATCGCAACCACCCATTCTATGTGCCCTTGGGGGCAGTGGACCCGGGGCTTCTGGGTTACAATGTCCCAGCCCTGTACAGCAGCGACCCAGCTGCCCGCGAAAGGGAGCGGGAAGCCCGTGAACGTGACCTCCGTGACCGGCTCAAGCCTGGCTTTGAGGTGAAGCCTAGTGAGCTGGAACCCCTACATGGGGTCCCCGGGCCAGGCCTGGATCCCTTCCCCCGACATGGGGGCCTGGCTCTACAGCCTGGGCCGCCTGGCCTGCATCCTTTCCCGTTCCATCCGAGCCTGGGGCCTCTAGAGCGAGAACGGCTAGCGCTGGCAGCTGGGCCAGCCCTGCGTCCTGACATGTCTTACGCTGAGCGGCTGGCAGCAGAAAGGCAGCATGCAGAAAGGGTGGCAGCCCTGGGCAATGACCCTCTGGCCCGGCTGCAGATGCTCAACGTGACTCCCCATCACCACCAGCACTCCCACATCCACTCCCACCTTCACCTGCACCAGCAGGATGCCATTCATGCAGGTGAGACGCTCTCTGTCCTCGCACTGAACTGCGGCTCTGCTGGTCAGGCATCAGTCACCCTCTCCTGAGATTACCGTTCTCATCTTTGCTGGACTTCCCTCCATTTCTCATGCCCTCTTCCTATCCCAGCCTTCTGCCCTTGATAACGCACAAAGCCGGAGCCTTTTGAAGGACTGCCTCTTCTCTGTCTTCATATTCTTTCTCTAAGCCCCTCACACGCCAGCGTTCTTGTTCCTCTGTATACAAATCTCGTTTGTTGCCAGCATCTCCTTCCCTTACATCTAGGGGTCTTCTGTGTTTCTGCCCATCTGCAGATTTAGAATCTTTTAGAGAAACCCATGTAAGTTTGGTTTTGGTGCCATACTGTATATATAAGTGCTCAACTGTAGCGCTTACAGCCCAGAACACTGCCTGGTTGGCTTTAGACTCGTTCATTTTCAGTTGCTTGTTCCTTCTCGCCCTCATCCGTTCTCCCTCGTTAGAGCATTGATTGATGTATTTAGTAAGTATACAACATAGCAGGCTTTAGGCATTCTCATACAGTGCCTTCTGCTCATATTCATCCCACCTCTTAATATTTTTCCTGTCTCGGTTCTTGAACTCAAAAAAAAATGACCAGTTTTCTAAAGGTATCCTTCATCCCTTCAGAGCAGTGCGTTCTTTTCTTTCCTCCTCGGTCCTCTCTGCTAACTGTGATCTGTCTTCCGTTATCCGTCCCTCTCACCAGCAGTTTCTTCTCTCCATCTCGGAGTCTCTAGCTTCCATTCTGCTCCATTCTGCTTTGGATCCCTTGGGTCTGTCTTCACAGGCGAAATCCCTCCACCCCAATGCATGGTTGTTCCTAACCCTGCCTCCTGGTGACACCTTCCTTTCTCTGCCCTCCAGCCTCCGCCTCGGTGCACCCTCTCATTGACCCCCTGGCCTCAGGGTCTCACCTTACCCGGATCCCCTACCCAGCTGGGACCCTCCCTAATCCCCTTCTTCCTCACCCTCTGCACGAGAACGAAGTTCTTCGTCACCAGCTCTTTGGTAAGGATGGAAGTTGGGATGGAGAAAACTCACGTGAGGGAAGGCCAGAACAGAGGGGTTAGGGTGGCAGAGTGGGCCTGTAGAGTTTGGAGAGAGAGGTGAGCAGTTATGGTAGAAACAGAGGCTGAGGGCCTCCTAAAAGAGGCTCAGGTTCTAGGCCCAGGCAGAGAAGTTGGCACTTCTGGTTCCATTCTAGCCCTGGCCGATCGTAGGGCAGGCGGTGTAACTTTGCAGCTTAGCCTTAGTTTCCGGTCTGTGAAGTGGCTGACCATCCCTATCCACCCATCACATGCTCCTGTCCTTCCTTCCCACAGCTGCCCCTTACCGGGACCTACCAGCTTCCCTTTCTGCTCCCATGTCAGCAGCTCATCAGCTGCAGGCCATGCACGCCCAGTCAGCTGAGCTGCAGCGCTTGGCGCTGGAACAGCAGCAGTGGCTGCATGCCCATCACCCATTGCACAGCGTGCCACTGCCCGCCCAGGAGGACTACTACAGGTATGGCAGGTGCTCCCAGAGCACAAGGGGGGGTGGGTATGGGTATACCAAGAGGATACCAGGCCCGTGGGAGGGGCCCTCCTTTCTCAGTCTCATCTCTCTGATGCTTTGCCTCTTACTAGTCACCTGAAGAAGGAGAGCGACAAGCCGCTGTAGAACCTGCGATCCAGAGAGCGCCCACTGCTCCTTTACCCAGACCTTGGAGGACTCCTCCACCCTTTTGCCGCACCCCCATCCCCCCCAAAGCCGAGGAGAGGGTGCTGCCCACTGGCAGAGCTTCTGCAGCTGGGCAGAGGGAGGGAGGGAAGAAGGGACAGACAAGGTTAAGGCCCAGGGTTGTGTGCAGAGGTGGGAAGTGGCAAGGGTGGGGACAGAAAGTGCACAGTATCTTGGACCAGGTCCCTCTTCCTTACCCCCTGCCTCTCTTCTCCTCAATGCCCAATCCTTGGCGCCGCTGCTCCTCCCCTGACCCATTGGTGTGATTATCTCATCTGGTAGATGTGGCTGTTTTGCGTAGCATTGTGTGCTGCCCCTGCCCCATCCCCCTGTGTGCACCCCCCTCGGCGATGTGTGCCCCTTGCCCGTCCCACATTAATAATTTATATATATAAATATCTATATGATGCTCTTTAAAAAACATCCTGACCAAAACCAACCAAACAAAAACATCCTCACACTTCCCCAGGAATTTGTCTGTGACTTATTTTTTGGGGGGGGGGGGTTTGTGGGTCTGGTGGGGTGGGTAGGGTGGGAGGTCTGATGGTCTTAGGGGAAATGGGAAAAGATGTGGGGGGCTTGACCATGCATCCCCAGTCATGCTTATGGGGGTGCCTCACACTATTTCTCTGGTTTCTCCTAAGACTGGGAAGTTAAGGCAGCTGAGGCCTTTGAGAGTAAGAACAGGCCACAGTGAACTTGACCTACTCTCACCTTGGAATCATCCCTGTCACCGACCTGACCAGATTGCTCCAGAAACAACTTCAGGGATCTAACTCCCTTTCCATAGCCTAGTTTGATAAATGATTTTGAAACAGTTGAATTTACATAACCTCAGTAGACCAAGAAGATTTGTATTACTGATTTTCTTTTTTTGTTTTGTTTTGTTTTTCGAGGCAGGGTTTCCCTGTAGCTGTGGTGCCTGTCCTGGAACTAGCTCTTGTAGACCAGGCTGGCCTCGAACTCCCAGAGATCCGCCTGCCTCTGCCTCCCGAGTGCTGGGATTAAAGGCATGCGCCACCACCGCCCGGCTATTACTGATTTTCTTTTTTTTTTTTTTTTTTTTAGATTTATTTATTTATTTATTGTGAATACAATACTCTGCCTGCATGTGTACCTGCACCCCTGAAGAGGGCACCAGATCTCATTGTAGATGGTTGTGAGCCATCATGTGGTTGCTGGGAATTGAACTCAGGACCTCTGGAAGAAGAGTCAGTCCTCTTAACCACTGAGCCATCTCTCCAGCCCTATTACTGATTTTCTTAAAGATTTATTTTTATTGTATGTATGGGTTCATGTCTGTGCCCATGAATGCAAGGGCCAACAGAGGCCAGAAGACGATGTTGAATCCCCTGTAGCTTGAGTTACAGGCAGTTGAGAATTGTCAGGCAAGGTGACCCCTCTTTGCAGCCCCTCTATTTTTAATGAGGCAAGGTCACGTAACCCAGGCTGCCCTTGAACTTGTGGCTTTCCTACCTCTTAGTTTTTGTGTTAGTACCACAGAAGTGCGGTACTATGCCCCGTAGGGCCTGACGTTCTGGATAACCCTTGCATTTTGAGGAGGGGATGGGTGACAAGAGCCTAGAAGGACAAGAATACATGGCATCGGGCCACATCGCCTACCACTCCATAAGGCCAATTACATCGGCTTTCGCTCCAAGCTTTTATTAATGCGAAGACCTGCTTTTGCTCACAGCAACGAAGGAGCTGTGATTGGCTGTTCTTAGCCAATCAGCATTGGGTCATTTGCATAGCCCTCTACCAGACGGTGACAAACTCAAGAAACGACCGGTTTTAGTAGTCTTCTAGAATATTATTTAGCGAATTGGGTAATAAAAGTGTGCTTTGCTATCTATATACTTCTGGGGGTGGGAAGATGGCATGCTGATCTCACCCTCACCGAAAGTGGAGTTCGTGCCTTTCCCGAGCTCGCTGCTAACAATGCTCGTGAGTGTTACAGCTCTTTTAGAATTTGTCTAGCAGGTTTTCTGGCTCTTGCTGGAAAACCCCTCCCAATCTCATTGGTTAACAAGAGTAGCAACGAGTCCAGCTTGGCGGCTGGTGTGGGTTTTTTTCTCGCTGTGGTTCCCTATTTCTCTAGGACTTCCGTGCGTGTGTGTTAGTTAGGTCCACGCTCGGAGACTTCCGCCTCGCGCGCTATAGCTTCCTTTCCGCCTCCGCTGGCCCGCAGCCGTGGTCGAGGCGGCTGGCTTCTTCGGATCTCTTCGGTGTTCCCATAGTCAAGTAGCGACTGGGGTTCTATGGCGTCCGCCTCGGCCCAGCCCGCGGCCCTGAGCGCAGAGCAGGCCAAGGGTGAGCCTGGTCCGGGCGTGGGCCGCCTTTAGGGGGAGGGCCTTACTACCCATTCCTTCTCCAAGTGGGGCCTTTGCCCAGTAGGGCAAAGGGTTGGGAGGACGAGTTTATCGGGTTACCGATCTCCTCGGTCCACTAATTCCCTGCCTCTTCCCTCCTTTGGGCTCGCCCGCCCTGCTCCGCGGACCTCTCTGGGATGCTTCGGTCTTGCAGTGGTTTTGGCGGAGGTGATCCAAGCGTTCTCGGCCCCAGAGAACGCCGTGCGCATGGACGAGGCTAGAGACAATGCATGCAACGATATGGGCAAGATGCTGCAGTTCGTGCTGCCAGTAGCCACACAGATCCAGCAGGAGGTTATTAAAGCCTATGGCTTCAGTTGCGACGGGGAAGGTGGGTCCCACATGGAATGGCGGTGGGATGGATTGGGGGTGGGGCTCATGATCAGTGGCCCCCGAATCGATCTCTTTCTCGCCACAGGGCGGCAGTCACATCAAACATTGGTACTCAGAGCTCAGGGCCTACTTATCCTCAGCTTTTTTTCCCCTTTCACTCTCTAAATTTAAAAGTACTGACTCTTGAACCCAAGGCCTTATGTTGAGCAAGCTCTCCACCTCTGACCTGTATCTACTCAGCTTTGGACCAGGAACTCACCAAGGTGCCCGGGCTGGCCTTGAAGCAAAAGGCTCCTTTATCAGCCTTCTGAGTAGGTGATATTGACTAGGCTTGAGTCACCAGGCCTAAGTCTAACCTGAGCTCTTGTCTGCCTGACAACAGACTTCTGCAGTTTGGTGTTGGGGATTGAGATCTCTCTTCCAGGAACATATATATTCATTGATTGATTTGGCCCAGCTAGCCAGGGGCTGCTTGTAGACTGGGGTCTTGTTCTTATTTAGGCTGCTTGAGGACAAAACAGCTAACATGGCTCACCCGAGAGTGGAACGTTCTGTTTTAGGACTTTTTCTTTTCTTTCTTTCTTTTCATTTTATTTTTATTTTTTTTATTTTTCGAGACAGGGTTTCTCTGTGGTTTTGGAGCCTGTCCTGGAACTAGCTCTTGTAGACCAGGCTGGTCTCGAACTCACAGAGATCCGCCTGCCTCTGCCTATCGAGTGCTGGGATTAAAGGCGTGCACCACCACCGCCTGGCTCTTTTTTGGTTTTTTGAGACAGGGTTTCTCCGTGGCTTTGGAGCCTGTCCTGGAGCTCTTGTAGACCAGGCTGGCCTCGAACTCACAGAGATCTATCTGCCTCTGCTTCCCGAGTGCTGGGATTAAAGGTGTGCGCCATCACCTTTTTTTTTGAAACAGTTTCTCCTCGTAGTCCTGGCTGATCTGGAATTTGTTTTGTAGACCAAGTTGGCCTCGAACTCAGAGAGCCACCTGCCTCTGCCTGTCAAGTACTGGCACTAAAGGGGTGCACCGCCATGCCTGGGCACTTTAGGACTTTTTCACATTGTATCCAGTTGTGCCTAGTGGAAACTGGGGTGGGGGTTGATGGAAGCCATGCAGGACGGGTGTGATCTGTCCTGCTTTGCCGAGGGCCACCCACTTGTGTCTGTCTACTATAGGGCTTCCATTCCCTGCCTTGGCACACTGGCCTCCAGCAGGCGTCCTTCCTTGCTCCCTCTTGCAGGTGTCCTTAAGTTTGCCCGCCTAGTCAAATCTTACGAAGCGCAGGATCCTGAGATTGCCAGCCTGTCCGGCAAGTTAAAGGCCCTGTTCCTGCCACCCATGACACTGCCGCCCCATGGGCCAGCTTCCGGAAGCAGTGTGGCAGCCTCCTGAGATTTGTTCTTGCGCGTGTGCCACTGCCAGGGAAGACGACCTTGCTCTCCAGAAGATAATAAATGCCTGTGACTAAACCTTCGTGTCGGTCCTTTGTAGTCTTGGCAACCCCCACTTGTTGATTCCGACTGCCCCTGGCCTTTCCCCCGCTTCAGCTTCCTTCCTATACTCTTTGCCTGGGACCAACCCTGCTCTCAAGAGCCCCTTTCCTCCTGTCCTGCCAGGGGGTGGGGTGGCAGGCTAAATGGGCCTCTTGGCATCCTGGGAGGTTTGTTCACAAAGGCGGTACCTCCTCCGAACAGTGGGCTTCAAGGCTTTTCTTTGAGCCCCCTTCTTTCCCGGGCCAGAGAGGTACCGTGCTGGGGGCGGTCCCTTGGGTAGGGTTACTTCCTGGTCTTTGCCCCTACCCGCCCTCCTGCTGCTCTGTCAGCCTGAGCTCCAGGTGGAACAGCAGGTGGCTCCTCCCCTTCCAAGAGAAGTAGGCCCTGGCAGGCCTGAAGCCTGCTGGCCTGCCTCGGGCCTCTGGGGAATTTGACTGTGGTGGGCGGTCGCGGGCCAGCCCCGCCCCACCTGTCCTTCCCTCGGAGACCTGCCATCCGGGGGCTTGTCCTCAAAGTGCCACAGGTCTGACAGACTGGAAACCGGAGGAAGTGGGTGACAACCAGAATATTCTTCCTGAAGGTCTGGTCTGGATCCCTGGACAGCTGTGCCACTGGATTGGCCCCGCCCCCATCGCCCTTTTCCTGTGACTTCCCCCGCTCCTCCAGGGAGATGCTGTCCCGCGGGTAAGTCCCCTGTGCCACCTGTGTCCTACAGACTCCTGTTAGTCTGGGCGGAGTTTGCCACCATAAATAGTCTTGTCACCACCATCAGCCCCTGTCCTGGGTCAGCTTCCTGTCTTTGTCAACTCCTTCCCACAAGATTCAGGACCACCCCGCCTCCCAGGGTTCATTCATATTCCTCTGCCTCCCTTTTTCTTTCATCAGCCCCTCACCCCCAAATGTGTAACCTCTGCTTCTGCCCCGTCTAGGACCTGTCCCCACTGGGTAGCTCACTTCACCTCAGACATGACTGAGGCACATTTGAGAACGTTCTGCCACTCCTAGGCAAACTCCCCCTTCTGAGCCTTGGTTCTGTGTGTTCCTTCCCTGCTCCCCAAAGGGAGCAGACTTAAGTAGATAAATTGAGTATTCCCGGGGGTTGGGTACAGCTGAAGATGCTGCTGTATGGGGAGATATGGTCTCTGTTTAGAGAGCCGGCTGCCAGGCTGAGGTGATAGAATGGATACCTAAGCCATAGCTAGGATTATTTCAGATGATTGATGGGTTAACGCCCAGCAAAAGAAACACAGAAAGGTGCTGGCAGGTAATGCATGCTGGAGACATTACTGGCTGAAAGGGGGGGGGGTGCTTTCTGATCAGGTGACATTTGAGTTAAGACCCAGTAATGAGATAGAGACAGCCATGTTGTGACCAGCAGAAATAGCAAGTGTGAAGCCAGAATAGGAAGTGTTCACTCCAGAGGGAGCCATGGGCAGCTTAGACCTGGGTGGGATTTGGGTAGCCGGCGACTGTCATTGTTTGTACGGAGTCCCCACTGGTTTTTGCTTTTCCTGCTGCCAGGAGCTGCTCTGTTTGCACTCTTCCTCCCGTGTGTGAGGGCGGAACTGAGTCTTCCCAGCGGGCTTGGCACAGCATCTCCTGGTACAGAACCTTTGCTTGATTCCTCAGCCAAGAGCTCTGCTGCTGGGGTCCAGCCCCTTGAACACTTAGGCTCAGCTGCATTGATGGGATTACACTGAACAGCCCAAGTGGTGATGTCATGCACGCACCTCTGAGTCCTGGTCCATCTGCCTGTGGCAATTACCTGCTCTGTCATCTCCCAGCATGCTTTGCTGTGCCAGTTATCTGACTAGCCTGCGGTGGCAGTGCCGTGGCAGACAACTCTCTGGCCACAGACAGCTTTATTTTTTTCACCTTCCCACTCAACCCACCGCTCACTCAAAGCTTGTGACTCTGGGCAAGTTACTTAACGTGTCTTGAGTTTCTATTTTTGTTCCTAAAATTCACATAGTAGCAAGTAAACAGTACAGTATTGTCATGAAAATTAACCATAATGCAGTTGTCTCAGCGGGTGTAGCGGTGTACGTCAACACTGGGGAGGCTGAGGCAGGAGGATTTTTGAGTTTAGGCTAGCCTGAACCACACAGTCAGATCCTGTTTAAATAAATAAATAATAAAAAGAAAGAATAGGTTACTGTCAGCGGTAGAATACTTGCCAAACATAAAAACCTGAGTTTGATCTCTTTCGCAATAAGTAAATACAGGGTGGTGGTGGCGCCTGCCTGTAATCCCAGCACTCAGGAGGCAGAGGCAGGTGGACCTCTGTGAGTTCAAGGCCAGCCTGGTCTACTGAGTGAATTCCAGGACAGCCAGGACTGTTACAGGGAGAAATCTTATCTCAAAAGAAAGAAAGAAAGAAAGAAAGAAAGAAAGAAAGAAAGAAAGAAAGAAAGAAAGAAAGGAAGGAAGGAAAGAAAAAAAATGAACAAAATAGAGTAGAATAAAAATTATCACCACACAGAGAAACCCTGTCTCGAACCTCCCCCCCCCCCCAAAAAAATCACCTGCCAGTGTCCATTGAGGGATTGGTTCCAGGGAAACCAGAAGACATCGAGCTGTACAGATGTATTTGCATTTAACCTATAATGTACTAATGCATGTTTTCAATCCTCTCCAAGTATTTACCTGACAATGTAAATGCTATGCAAATCATTATACTGTATTATTGAGGAAATTTCGGCAAGGGGAAAAGGTCTGTGCAGCTGGCTGGCTCCACAGATGCGAAATTGGAAGACAGAAACCATTGTCAAATGTTAAGGCTGATGGCATCAAACTATACCACTTAGGCAAGAATGACCTCCCCAAGGCTGGCATATGCCGTCACACTTGGCCTTTTGTCCCAGGCTTCAGCCTCCTGAATACTGGGGTTTTAGGCGTGAGCCACCACACCTGGTTGCTTTATTAGCCTTTTAGGTCGGAATTTAGGAAATCTTGTTAAGCTTATTTATTAGGTGGGAAGATCAAGGCCCAGAGACGTCCGGTAACTATGTAAGATCGTTGTACCCAGGACCTGTCTCTTGCATCGCCTTGATCTTGTCTTCTTTCATACCCTGCTTCCCAGAGGAATTTCTTTCTCTTCTAGATACCAGGCGTTTAGGACTGTCAGCCTCCTTGTGCCTGTTGAAAACAAAGACAAAATCCCTACATCCTAGGTGGTCAAGGGCTCAAATGGGATGATTGTGTATGTTGTCCTAATGTTCTTCCGACTCCAGGGTCCTGTGCCTTGCTTCTTAGGGGATTGCCATTATTTTCCTGCAGGGGTGGTCCGTCTTATCGGAATGTCTCATTTTCTGGCTTGACACTCTTTAGATACACTTAAAGGGTCAGGAGTATTAGGTGCCTTCTAAGTTCCTTTAGACAAGTGAGCTTAACCCTGGAAGGAAGAATCCTAGGTCTGGTGTGGTCAGTGTGGTGTTAAGCAGGTACCTGGAACTTCCTGTGTCCCTGCGTGTTGCGGGTCTGCCCCCAGTGAGGTATGTATATGGATGGACACATGGTGGGGGGCCTGTGAGTTGTGCTTCTTTATGAGGTATGCTTGGATATGGCTGTGTGAATCCTTACTCATCTGCCCGCAGGGGCAGACCAGGAAGCATCCATGTAACCTTGACTGTGTAAGTGTATTCTCGAGTCTTCTCACTGGATACTTCCTTGGGTTCTGAAGGTTGGGATGGGAACAACCAGGGTGCTTGTGAATCCCCGTGCTGGAACCAGCTTTGCACGTGGTTTTCCTGACCCTTGGGGTGAGCTGGGTCCATGGGAGTTCTAGATACTTGATATCCCCAAGAATGATAAAAGACTTGTCATAGAGGGTATTTTTTGTTTGTTTGTTTGTTTTTTAAAACAGGGTCTTGCTATGTAGCCCTGGCTGGCCTGGAACTAACTCTCTATGAAGCTCAGGCTGGCTTCAAACTTGTACTTATCCTCTTGCCTCTGTCTTCCAAGTACTGGAATTCCAGGTGTGTGTCACTGTACCTAGCATGACTGTGAAACCCAGGGCTTCCTACATGCTAAGCCAGCGCTTCACCCAGAGCCACACTCTAGCCCTTGCTGGTTTTCATATTCTTTTATTTTTTTCTATTTTTGATACATACCATATATACTATAAATAAATATTAAGCGTACAGCTAACTCTCCACTTATTCATGACTTTGGGTTTGGTGCAGAGATGGAATCCAGCACCTTCTGCACGCTACCTTTGTACTACACCTCAAGCATCATACAGTTCTGAAAAAAGTGTAAGGGAACCAGATGTGCTGGTGATGCTTATACTCCCAGCTATTAGAGAGGCAGAGGCAGGGGGATTGCAAGTTCAAGACTACAGAGTGAGTTCCAGATTAGCCTGGGAAACTTAGTGATTGATACCCTGTCTCAAAATAAAAAAATAAAAAGAGAGCTGGGGTGTAGCTCAGTATGGGGCATTTGGCTGGCACGTTTGAGGTCCTAGGTTCAATCCCTAGGACTGCAGAAATATAAGAGGAATCAAATCAATAAGAAAAAGAAATAGGGTGGAGGATTTGCCTCAGTGATGCTTGCCGCCTGCAGAGTGAAGGGACTGGGTTTGTTCTATCTGTCTGTCTGTTTGTCTACCTACCTACCCTACCTACCTACCTACCTACCTACCTACCTACCTACCTACCTATCCATCTATCTGAAACAGGGTCTCACTATATAGCACTGACTGTCCTGGAAATCATTATGTAGACCAGGCTGGCTTCAAGCAGAGATCTGCCTACCTCTGCCTCCCAAGTGGTATGTGCCACTATGCATGGCTAGGGCTTAGGTTCTAATTCCATCATGGCAAAAATACCAAAACTAACCAATCAAAACACCACAAACAAATACGCCCCAAAGGCTATAAAGGACTCTGTCTCAGCTCTGCTTTCTAGCAGTTGTGTTCCTCCTGAAGGGAGACACCAATAGGAGCTTTTGTTTTGTTTTATTTTGTTTTGTTTTTTTAGTTTTTCTCTGTGTAGCTTTGGAGCTTGTCCTGAAACTTGCTAGGTAGCCCAGGCTGGCCTTGAACTCACAGAGATCCTCCTGCCTTTGCCTAAGTGCTGGTACTAAAGATGTGCACCACCACTGCCCAGCCACCAACAGAAACTTCTTGGATCTTCTGCTTAGCAACTTGTTTTTCTTCTGACCCTGACTTGGTAGTGTTTGCATTTTGTTTTTATTTGTTTGTTTTTGTGTTTACACTGGGGATTACACACACAGGGCATCTTTGGTCTGAGAGCTCCTAAAGGTTACTCTCTCTGTGAGCATCTGCCACATTGGGACCTTGGCCAACACCCTAGCCTCCAGGACACACACACGTGCACACACATGCATGTGCACGTGTGTGCCCTAGCAGAGTCAGGGTATAGGAAAGAGGCCTATAAACGGCCCCTACCAGTAGAAAAGGCCCACAGTTGACAGTGCCGAGTGAGGTCATTTCTGTGGGGCGCTCTGCTGTGACAGTGTCTCTTTTGGACAAGGGGTCTGTTAACTACTGTTCTTTGGGTCCTGAGGGTTGGCAGGCAGTATTTAAAAATCATTGGCTTTGAAACTAAACTACTTAAGTCTGAAGCCTGCAATTTACTAAGTGAAAAGCCTGGAGCAATTCCTCAAACTTCTTAGCCTCAGTTTCCTTGTCTGTAAAGTGGGTATAAAGGATGGTGCCTGTGTGATGAGGTGTGGTGAGGTGTAACTCACGGGAGGAATGTAAATAGCATTGTAGCAACGAGTCTGGCATGTGGCAACACTCCACTAAATGACAGTGTCACTGCACACCGTCGTTATTAGATTGTGCCAAAGAATGCTGCGGAGAAGCGGGGACAAAACCGTGAGCCGATGGCCACGAGGATTCGCCTGTGTGAATCTTGGCCTGGAGGGGCCCGAGGGGCACACACGTGTGTCCTTGTCTCTGGAGTCCCGACTCTTCAGTGTCATATACTCCTGTGCCTTTGATGGCAGACTGTGGCAAGTGGGCCCTCCCCCACCCTGCCACCCTTCTGCTTCTCTTCCCTTGCTCTGAAAAGAGAAGTACAAGTGAGTTCCCCCAAGGGGTCGGCCGCGCCCCTTCCTGTCTCCGCCCAACTGGCTGTCCCAGGCCAGTGGAGTAGTAGCCCGGTAGCAGGACAGCAGGTTGGGGTTGTCGGAGCTTGGGCTCGGAGAGCCTTGCTTGAGGCTCAGGCCCAGAGTTTTCCCACCTGCCCAGGCAGGCTGTTCCCTTCACGTTCTCTGCAGCTATTTCAACAAGAGCCCCAGGATGGTGAGGTAAGACCTGGGACCCATGGGAGGCAGGCCGGAAGGATGGTCTGCCCCTCAAGGGACGTTACCTCACCACCTGGTGCACCTTCAGGTGGTTTCATCGGGACCTCAGTGGACCTGATGCAGAGACCCTGCTCAAGGGCCGTGGAGTCCCTGGGAGCTTCCTGGCTCGGCCCAGTCGCAAGAACCAGGGTGACTTCTCCCTCTCAGTCAGGTGGGTGGCCCTCCCTGCGATTTGGCAGCTCAATGTGTGCACATTCTTCGGTTCCCTGGGTTGCATTGCTTCCTCATGTTGTATTGCTCCCCCTGTGTCCCTGCCTGTAGCCCCAGTTTGTCCCCAGAACTGTCCGTGTCCACCCCATTCCCGTGTGCCTTTGCATTCCGGCCCCTCAGCCTGTCTGTCCCCCATCCCCTCCCACTTCTGCTCCTGTACCTGGGGCCTCACTTCCTGGTACCCTGCAGGGTGGATGACCAGGTGACCCATATTCGGATCCAGAACTCGGGGGACTTCTATGACCTGTACGGAGGGGAAAAGTTTGCGACGTTGACAGAGCTGGTGGAGTATTACACACAGCAGCAAGGCATCCTCCAGGACCGGGACGGCACCATCATCCACCTCAAGTACCCACTGAACTGCTCCGACCCCACCAGCGAGAGGTGAGGGGCATTGCAGGCTGGCCCAGGCCCTTGAGAGAAGTGTAAAGGAGGTGGGCACCCAGCCCAGGTGGCCTGCTCACCCACAGACTGTGCCTCATCCCCACTCTCCCACCCGCGTTCCAGCTCAGTGCTCTGAGACTCTTTCCTACAACTCACCCATCCCCGGTCCCCCGTGGCAGCAAGAGAAGGGCTCCCCTTGCTTTGCTGCAGGGTTCATGCTGCCTAGCAACCTAGTCCTGGGAGCGACAGTGAGGCTACTTCTTGTGGCTGGTGTTTCCCATCAGGTTGGCCCTATTGCTAGAAAGCTCTTACTTCTATGGAACTCTGTTGCCTTTCCCCAGCTCTCCACAGTCTGAGCCTCTGAGGTCCCCATGTTAGTAAGGCCTTAGAGATCACTTTATTGGGGTGCTCAGGGCTTTATCTCAGCAACACAGCGAGGATGGGTTGCAGAGTTTGGATGAAGCAAGGTCATTGACGTGGTCACAGGTCTAGAGGGGTAGAGGGTCCAGGCTCGCCTGGCTCCAGGGAACACTCCGGACATCCCCACTAGTGCTGCAAAGACATGGCCCCCGTAACCAGGCTACTCTCATGCGGTCTCCCCAGAGTGTGTACCAAGAGAAGGCACACAGATAGATGCCCTCATTACACCATGGCTCACCTTAGTCAGGCAGCATAGTGACAAACAGCTCCCATTAAAGTAAAGGGCAGTGGAATAACACTAGGGGCTTCTCCTGGACTTCTGGGGCCATGCCAACTTGTTTTTGTTCTGTGTGTTTGTGTATTTACTGTTGAAATGATTCTGAACCTTGACCCCCCCCCCTTCCCCTGCTGGGGCCTGAACCCAGGACCTTGTGCATGCTGAGTGCGTGCTTTGCCACTGAGCTACTTCCCAGCGGTTTTTAGTCTTTTTTGAGATTCGTGCCTACACATTAGCTCAATGTTTTTGTTGAAGTCACTGATGAAAACTTAGAGTCAGCGGATCAGAGAGTTTGCCTAGTGTGCATTAAGCCCTGGGCTTGATTCCGTGCATTGCATAAGCCCAGTGCTGTGGCAGTCCCAGGCGGAGGCAGGAAGACCAGGAGCTCAAGTTCATCGAAGCTGGTCTACACTTCCTTGAAGACTTTCCCATGTGGTGGCAGACAGAAAGGGAGGCACGCCTCATGCTGTCTGTTCTTCTCCCTCTGACCTGCAACTCTCAGGGTGGGTTGGCCTCTCAGATTCGCTTTTACCTCCTTGTCTTCCCTTGTTGCTGTCCCAAGCCAGGAGCTGCTCTCCTCAAGGAGGCCGACTATGGAGGTATAGCAGAATCGTAGCTGGTATGTTCACTAGGATAGGGAGGAAGTGGGAGCTGAAAGGGTGTCAGGGGAGCAGGATGGGACAGAGTGGAGAAAGATGGGGTGCGGGGAAGCATGCTGCACCACTAGGGGGGTAGCAGATGACTCCAAGAGACACTTTGGATGGGCAACTAGAAAGCTGAGTTTCATTCCTAACCTTGAGGTAAGTGGCAGCCAGGGGCCAATACTCCTTGTGTCCTTGCCCCGCCTCTTCAGGGAAATTTGCATTTGTCCCCTCAATGGTGAACTCTCTGCCTGTGGTCAGTTCACATTTGCATGGAGACTTCCTCATCCTGTCCCTGAGGGAAGGAGCTGAACCCCCTCACTTTGCTTGGGGGCCCTGACTTGTCCCTGAGGTAGTCGTGGGTAGGGGTAGAAGCCTCTGACAGGCCCTAGGCTATGGTATCCCCTGGCAGAGTTGAGAAGGATCAGGAGGACTAAGCCCTGCTCTCCTTCCCCCTCCATCTCTGCGGTTGGAAAATGCTGCCCCCCCCTCTGTCCCTGAGCTGAGGAAACCCTCACAACCTCACTTCTCACTCTCTCCCCAGAAGGAGTTTTGTGTTTTTTCCATCACGTGGTTTCCTGTGAGGCTAGGCATTGTGGGGCTACAGTTTCCTCCTGGGAAGGGGCGCTTCACGGCAAGGCCCTTAGTTCTGCTTTCTGCCCTTCAGCCCCTTCAGTCACACCATCCTGGGCTCCCTGGAACCCTGAAACCACTCTCCTCAATGGAGTGTTGGGGCCCCCACATCCCCGAGGAATTTTCCATCGGTCCTTCCTGACATCAGTCTCTTCTGACACCCACTGCCATCTGTGGTTTGGGCCCTTCTACATTTTACTGTCCCTCCTTTAACCCAGTCCAAGTCTGTGTTTCATGGGGACCCCTCTTTTTGTTTCTCCAAATATTCTAGGTATTGCTTGCCCGTTTGTTGTAAACAGAAGAGGCTCTAGGTTTTTGTTAGGACCCCCCTCCTTCATTCCTCCCTCCCTCCCTCCCTCCCTTCCTCCCTCCCTCCTCCTTCCCTCCTTTCTCCCTTTATTTTGGTGCTGGGGAATGAACCCAGGGTCTTACGTGTCCCACTGAGCTATAACCTCAGTCTCCATGGTTTGAACTCTGTGGAACCTTTTCTTTTATTAGTTGGGGACCTAGGCCCAGTGTGCAAGTGCTTAGCCTCTGTTTTCTGGGAAAATGGCAACCTCTCAGCTTTTGTTTTGTTTCTTTGTTTTAAATGATTGTTTGTTACATTTGTAAGTGTAGAGGTCAGAGGACAACCTGTCTGTCGAAGTTGGTTATCTCCTTCTACCACGTGGGTCCTGGGGATCGAACTTGGGCTGTGGGGCCTGATAGCAAACATTTTTACCCTCGGCCGTCTCACACGGAGCCCTTTTCTCCCTTTCTTCCTTTCAACCCACTCTGTAGGCCAGGCTGGCCTCGAACTCACAGAGATCCGCCTGCCTCTGCTGCCAAGTGCTGGGATTAAAGGAGTGCGCCACCACTGCTAGCCTCTGCTCTTTTTTCTTTTTTGAGGCAGAATCTTACTCTGTAGCTCAGGCTGGTTTGAAACTCACCATGTAGACCAGGCTACCCTCAAACTTACAGTTATCCCCTTGTCTCTGTTAGCTCAGGGCTGGAATTACAGGTGTGTGTCACTATGTCTGGCTGTTTGTTTTGTTTTGAGACAGGGTCTTATTCTGTAGCTCAGGCTGGCCTGGCACTTACCATGTAGAGCAGGCTGGCCTCACTGAGGTAGTCCAGCCTACTGAATGCTGGGATTATAAATGTGAGCTACGGTTACCCTATCTTGAGAGAAAAACCAAACAAAATAAAAGTGAGTCATCATAACCCAGCTATTTATTTATAGAAGCAGGTGGGTCTTTTTGTTAGTTTGATTTTGATACAGGGTTTCTCTGTGCAGCCCTGGCTGTCCTGGAATGCACTCTGTAGACCAGGCTGGCCTCGGAGACCCACCTGCTTCTGCCTGAGTGCTGGGTTTAAAGGTGTGCGCCACTACGAGGACCATGCTGGCCTCCAGTTCATTCTGTTCTCACATCTTCTGAGGAGCGGGGATTCTAGCTCCAAGCCTGGCTCCTTCCTCTCAGCATTTTTGTGAGATAGCGGTGGATTTGAAAGCTTATAGCTCAGATCTGGCAGGTGTCAGTGCCCACTCGGGCCTGGTCACCAATCTTTTCAATGTACCTAGGTGGTACCATGGCCACATGTCTGGAGGGCAGGCAGAGACACTGCTGCAGGCCAAGGGCGAGCCCTGGACGTTTCTTGTGCGTGAGAGTCTCAGCCAGCCTGGTGATTTCGTGCTGTCCGTGCTCAACGACCAGCCCAAAGCTGGCCCTGGCTCCCCGCTCAAGGTCACTCACATCAAGGTTATGTGTGAGGTAAGTCAGCTGGGCTGTGGGGACGGCCTCATGCCAGAACTTCATCCAGAGCTGTTGGGAGGGTCTTCTGGGGTTGGATTTAAGACTGGGGGTGCCAGGACGGGGTCTCAGTCCTGAGGGGTAGCCCTACTTGGTGTCCTTCAGGGAGGACGCTATACTGTGGGTGGCTCAGAGACCTTTGACAGCCTCACAGACCTGGTGGAGCATTTCAGGAAGACGGGCATTGAGGAGGCCTCAGGTGCCTTTGTCTACCTGCGGCAGGTGAGGAGCCAACCTGCTGCCTCTTCCCTTCCCCTGAGCTGTTGGAGATGTGGGCTTCTGAGGTCTCTCAGTCTCTGATTCCTGCTTTCCCTCTCCCCAGCCTTACTACGCCACTCGGGTAAACGCGGCCGACATCGAGAACCGGGTCTTGGAACTGAACAAAAAGCAGGAGTCCGAGGACACAGCCAAGGCTGGCTTCTGGGAGGAGTTTGAGGTGGGTACTGGGGACAGTGGAGCTGGGATAGATGAGGCCACCTTGCCTTCTTTATGTCCCTGTGACGTGGCTCTGACCTCTCCACCCGCGCATGTGCCTGGGGCGGGGGCTTAGTTCTCTCACCTTTCAGAGTCTGCAAAAGCAGGAGGTAAAAAACTTGCACCAGCGCCTGGAAGGGCAGCGGCCTGAGAACAAGAGCAAGAACCGCTACAAGAACATTCTTCCCTGTGAGCTCCGCCCCTCCGCCCCTCACCGCTCCCCCCCCCCCAGACTCCACCTCCCCACTGCCCAGCAGAGCTCTCCTCCCCCAGGAAGCCTCTTTGCTTTCCTTGAGCCTCCCATAGCTACCAGGCACCCTCCTGCTCCCGAAGCCTCTGCCCCCACCCCAGACACATTTGTCTCTGCCTGCTGCCCTGTCCTCTATGAGTTCATGGTTTTGGAGACAAGACCATCTGTTAGCTTGGGAAGGGTCTGCCACAGGGTATGGCCGGCCCAAGCAGTTTCTTTTCTACCCATGCCAGTTGACCACAGCCGAGTGATCCTGCAGGGACGAGACAGTAAAATCCCTGGGTCCGACTACATCAATGCCAACTATGTCAAGGTAAGTTGGGCGAGCCATGTGGGAACAGACTCTGGTCTCTTAGAGCTCCCTGTGTCTTGGGGTCCATGGGTACAGTGCCTCTGGGAAAAGCTGGAGCTGGTATCTTGGGTAGGGTTGATGGTGCTATGAGCACATGTATGCCCACTTACAGTCCTGGGATGGGTCTCTCTGTGTTTGCATCCAGAACCAACTGCTAGGTCCAGATGAGAACGCTAAGACCTACATTGCCAGCCAGGGCTGTCTGGAGGCCACAGTCAATGACTTCTGGCAGATGACCTGGCAGGAGAACACCCGAATCATCGTCATGACCACCCGTGAGGTGGAGAAAGGCCGGGTAGGGCAAAGCACCACCCTCTTGTCCCTCACATTTTCTTCCTCAGTCCTTGTTCACCACCATACACAAGGAAGATCAGGGGCTGGTGAGAAGGCTCAGAGGCTTAAATGTGTTTGCCACCAGGCCTAACCCCATGAGTTCAATCCCTGGGACCCACATGGTAGAAGGAGAGAACTGACTTCTGCAAGTTATCTTCTGACTGCCGCATGCATGCTATAGCACATGTGTGTTCATACATGTACGCTCACAGGGAGATCTAGTTTTATGGGTGTACATACATATACATACCTCAGTGGCAAAGGCCCAGTGCCTGTTGGGAAGCTGAGACCTGAGATAGTCTCCTCTATACACTGTGACTCCTGGACACCCAGCCCTCCTCAGCTCCAGATGCCCTGTGTGATGATATAGCCTAGTGGCAGAGCGCATGCCCAGTCCTGGAACCCTGGGTTCGATCCTCAGCACCACAGAACAGGGCAAGCATTCTTCATGCATCCGTTTCTTCCCCCCGTCCTCTCTGCCCCAAGCCTCTTGCCATCAGCGGCTCCCCCTTGCTCCCCCCTTGCGCACTGGGAAGTTTTCCTCTCAGAAGCACATGGCATCCAGCTGCTCGCTCTGAAAACCCTTCTGTGGCTCCCAGTTGCTTCTGGGATGGAAAGCTGTCCCTGCAAGCCTGGTGGCTTCCCTCAGGTCCTCATGGCTCCCTGTAATGCACATCACCTCTTGTGAAGGCACTAGCTCAGTTTATGCCAGGAAATGGCTCCCTGAACCGCCATGCCTCACAGACTCCGGTTTGGGGTGCTCCATTCCTACTTACTCTGTGAGGCTATCCTGCATTGCCCTCTTAGCCCTGTGGGAGAATTGGCTCCTTCCCTAGCCCTGCTCCTGAGACATGCTCTGTATACCTGTGTCTCCTGTCTGTGTATCATCCTGTGTCCTAGGATACGGACCGTGTCTGGCTTGGTCTTCCAGGGTTTGTAGCTCTAGGGATGAAACTTCTGGCTTTGTATGTGCGAAGCACACATACTCTCACTAAACTGCATCCACTGTCTGCATTTTTCTTGAGTTTGAACCACAGCTCAGTTGCTACAGCTTCAGTGGTCACTGAATGGATTGTAAGATTAGATGGTTGATAGTTCCTATCTTGTAGTGGTTAGCCTGAAGCCAGGCCCCAGGTCTGATTCTGAGCAGGCTCATCCCTCTTTTAACAGATGTCCAGGGCAGGGATGGGGAGAAGGCTCAGCCATCGAGCCATGAAAGCGTGAGGACTCGAGTTGGGGTCCTCAGAAGCTCTTGTACATTCCGGGTGGGCAGAGAAGCTTACTTACAGTTCCAGCTTTGGCAGGAGGATGCAGGGGATCCCCAGGGCAAGTTGGCTAGCAAGGCTTGCCATATTGGTGAGCTCTGGGTTTGATTGAGACACCCTGCCTCAATGAATGAGGTGGAAGAGTGATGGACGATGATTTCCAGCCTCATTCTTATGCCTGCCTCTACATGTACCCCCCATGTATGTACCTATACACGTGTGCAAAAAAAATTCACTATGCCTGGGGCCTAGAAAGCCCCAGAGCTTTGCCTCTGTGCCTTACCCCTCCCCCTCTCTTTCAGAACAAATGTGTTCCATACTGGCCAGAGGTGGGCACTCAGCGAGTCTACGGGCTCTACTCTGTGACCAACTGTGCGGAGCACGATACAGCAGAATACAAACTTCGCACTTTACAAATCTCCCCGCTGGACAATGTGAGTGTCCCCAGCCCCTGCACATTCCAGGGGCCTCACCTTCTGTTTGTTCTGTAGTTGGGGTGGGTGGGTGGGACTAGAAAATCGTGTGGATGCAGCAGGCACTGACTCTGTGTCCTTGGCCTAGGGGGACCTGGTTCGGGAGATATGGCACTACCAGTACCTGAGCTGGCCTGACCATGGGGTTCCCAGTGAGCCCGGGGGTGTCCTCAGCTTCCTGGACCAGATCAACCAGCGACAGGAACGTTTGCCTCATGCAGGGCCCATCATTGTACATTGCAGGTGAGAGGTATAACGTGAAGGTAGTGTTTACAAAGCAGCAGCGGGGGCTACAGAGATGGCTCGGAGGACCTTGTTTGACTCCTAGCACCTACATAGTGATGTATAACCTTCTCTAACTTCAGTCCCAGGGGATTCAACACCCTTTTCTAACCTACAAGGGCACTGCATGCACATGGTATACAGACATACATGCAGGCGGAACACCTGCACACGTAAAACTGAAACAGCAGCTGGCAGGTGAGCAGTGCTGCCAGCAACATGGCTAGGGACTTACTGTACGCCTTCCCGGACCCCAGCTTCCTCTGGGCCCTCACTACTCCAGGCCTGTGGTGGACCTGCTTGTGGGTCCTTGGGTTTCACCTCTCGCTGCTCATTGCTGGGCATGGTGGCGTATGCCTATAGTCTAGCATTTGGGCACTGAGACAGGGGGATCATGAGTTCCAGGCCATGTAACTAAGACCTTTTTTTCCTTCCTTTCTTTCTTCCTTCCTTCCTTCCTTCCTTCCTTCCTTCCTTCCTTCCTTCCTTCCTTCCTTCCTTCCTTGACAGGACTTCTCTGTGTAACAGCCCTGGCTGTCCTGTAACTCACTTTGTAGGCCAGGCTGGCTTTGAACTCACAGGAATCTGCCTGTCTCTACTTCTGGAGTTAGGATTAAGGGCATGCACCACTACACTGGGCATAAGATCTTTCTTTTAAAAAAAAAGTTCACTGTGTATGTGTGTATGTCTATGTATATGTGTGTGCACCATTGATGGCTTCTTTTTTTTTTTTTTTTTTGGTTTTTCGAGACAGAGTTTCTCTGTAGCGTTGGAGCCTGTCCTGGAACTAGCTCTTGTAGACCAGGCTGGCCTTGAACTTGCAGAGATCTACCTGTCTCTGCCTCCCACCTGTGCTGGGATTAAAGGCATGCACCACCACAGCCCAGCCATTGATGGCTTCTTTTGTATGACCTGAGGAAACAGGAACCAGTTTTGTCCCCCCTTCTCTGTCCCTGTAACCCAGGCCTGTGGAAGCTTCTAAACTTCCTCCTTCCCTCACTAACAGCTGTCTTGCAACTGGGCTGGGAGTACCCCCCATGCTGTCTTGGGGTCAAGCTCTGCACGCTACTATCTTGGGGACAGCTCATCCCCAAGAACTACCTCTCTGCCACCCCTCCCCCATTCACGTACTTCTTGAAATCCCCATAGCCTTTATTTAGAAATTACAGGAAGGAAGTGGTATGGGGGGGTTATTTTTGACAATCTAGGTTTGAAATTAGACAGCTCGACTTATGGTAGCAGCCTCACGGACTGGGCTGTGGGCAGGTCTGGGGTCTGCATCATCTGTCTGCTCCGAGTGGGTGGAGGGGGGTACGGGTAGGGGTGGAGGGCGGGGGGGGGGGGGGGGGGGGGGGGGGGGGGGGGGGGGGGGGGGGGGGGGGGGGGGGGGGGGGGGGGGAAGGGAAGCATACTACTGCACTTTCTCCACACCTGAGTCTTGGGCCAGCCCTTACCTTTCTGCCATGTTGAAGAAAAGAGAAATGAAGTTCCACAGAGAGAAAGTTCCACCTCTCTGTCTGTCTGTCTCTGTATGTGCTGGAGGTGGGACCCTAGGGCTTTAAGCATATTAAAAACATGCTTTACCACCAAGGCACACCCTAAGCAAAATGTAACTCTATGTGTGTGTGTGGTGTGGGCATGCATGTGGGCATGTCCATGGAGGTCTGAGGCCCTAGTGTTTTTATGGCTCTCTACCATGCACACACACATACACCCACTCATGCGTGTGTGCGCACACACACATATACATGTGTCTGTGTATGTGTGTCTCACACTATGTGGCTCAGTGGCCTGGAATTTGCTAGGTAGACCAGGCTGGCCTCAGATTCACAGAGGTCCACTTCTTTTTGCCTCCTGAGTATTGGGATTAATACTACAGGCTCTCCCTCTTATTTTTGTGAGAAAGGGTCTCTCCGTGAACCTGGAGTGCATCACTTCAGTTAGGTTGGCTGGCCAATGAGCTAACCTAACCTCCTGGCCGCTGTGCCTGCCCTTTTGTGCTTTTGTGTGCACTGGGGATCTGATATCAGGTTCTTTGTGTTTTTGTTTGAGACAGGGTTTCTCTAGTTTTTAGAGCCTGTCCTGGAACTAGCTCTGGTAAACCAGGTTAGCCTCAAACTCACAGAGATCCACCTGCCTCTGCCTCCTGAGTGCTGAGATTAAAGGTGTGCGCCACCACCGCCTGGCCTGATGTTGGGTTCTTATACTTGCTTGTGTGACAGTCATAATAGTCACTGAGCCATCACACCCATCCCAAATGTAACTTTGTGTGTGTGTTTCTGTATAGACCAGGCTGGCCTCTTGAGTACAGGGATTAAAATCATGTGCCACCATGCCTAGCTCCAAGTGTGACTCTCTTATTTATTTTTTGACTTTTTGAGACAGGGTTTCACTGTGTTGTGCAGCCCTGGCTGTCCTGGATCTCACTCTGTAGACCAGGTTAGCTTCAAACTGAGAGAGATCCAATTGTCTCTGCCTCCCGAGTGCTGGGATTAAAGGCATGCCCCACCACTGCCTGGCTCCAAATATAACTCTTTCATTTCTTTTCCTTTTGGCTTTTTGAGATAGGGTTTCTCTGTATAGCCTTGACTGTTCTAGAACTAGCTCTGTAGACCAGGTTGGCCTTGAACTCATAGAGATCTGCCTATTTCTGCTTCCCAAGTGCTGGGATTAAAGGTGTGCACTACTACCCGCCCACTCCAAATGTAACTCTTGAAGGCTGGAATGGGGGGAGCCCAGGTACCTGAGGAGCAGGTAGGACAATGGCAGGGTGTGACATTCTGTTTCTCCAAGGAATGAGAATAGCCATCATTTGGGAGGAGTGAGGAGTGGGAGCAGGATGTGGGGAACAAATGCTGGGAAGGAGGGAAAGGGTATCTGTACCCCCAAATAGGCACCTGCTTGTCCATCCTGTGACTGGGGCAGAAGGATGGGTGCAGAGGTGCACTTTGCTGGCCTAATGACCTGGACACATTACTAACCCTTGTGGCTGGTGCTGTAGGTTCTTCATGACTTCCCATTTCCTAGTAAGGGCTGGGCCTTTGATGGTGGTCCTTTCTCTCTGCAGTGCCGGCATCGGCCGAACAGGCACGATCATCGTCATTGACATGCTCATGGAGAGCATCTCCACCAAGGGTGAGGACCCCTGGGCCGTGCGGGTAGGTGTGGGAGAGACAAGCCGTCCCTTGGCCTTGCCCACCCTGACGTTCCATGGCCACCCTTGTCCAGGACTAGATTGTGACATTGACATTCAGAAGACCATCCAGATGGTACGGGCACAGCGCTCTGGCATGGTGCAGACGGAGGCGCAGTACAAGTTCATTTACGTGGCCATTGCCCAGTACATTGAGACAACCAAGAAGAAGCTGGAGATCATACAAGTGTGTCCAGAGTGGGGCTGATGGGTGGGAGGGGAGAGTGGGCATCACCCAGTTCTGCTGGTACCACCATCCTCCCACCACACCTTTGCCCACAGTCCCGGAAGGGTCAGGAGTCGGAGTATGGGAATATCACCTACCCTCCCGCTATGAGGAGTGCCCATGCCAAGGCCTCCCGTACCTCCTCCAAGTGAGTGATCCTGCTTGTCCTCCCAGCATCTCCCCCTTCTCCTGCCCAGTCTTGACTGTCCTTTCTGGAGTGGACTAGTGTGGAGGCTGGGGAGACCCTGGTTCAAGGTCAACCTTCTCCCTACTACCTCTGTTCTTCAGTTTTTTCTGAAGCGCCCACTGTGACTATGGGTGGGCCTGTGCTGAGGACCAGCTGTGGACTCCTGTGAGTGCAGTCTTTGCCCCCGGGAGCTTTGGGTCTAGTGTATGGACAGTGAGCGGGCTCTCTGGCTTTCCTGGCTTCACTAAGTGACAGTGAGTTCTGGAGGGGCCGCTAGTAGGGGATCTGCGGAGTGTCCAGATGCCTTCTCTCCCTCCCCCATGCCCAGACACAAGGAGGAGGTGTATGAAAACGTGCATAGCAAGAACAAGAAGGAAGAGAAAGTGAAGAAGCAGCGGTCAGCAGACAAGGAGAAGAGCAAAGGTTCCCTCAAGAGGAAGTGAACTGGGCACTCATCTGCAGGTGGCCATGGTGAGGCCCCTTCTCCCCCTGTCCCCGTTTCCCCCGCTCCAGTTCTGACATGCGAGGGGTGGTGGTCACAATCTCACTCTCCTCTGCCAGGGTGTACCCAGGCCCCAGATACCCTCTGACCCACTTCCTCTCTTTTATCTGCAGCATCAGCCTTAATCCCTGCAGAGGCCTCCACTGGACAGATCAAGACCTGTGGCCCACACCAGACCCTGGGACCACCCCCATCATTTTGTAATTTAAATGGCTATGATCCTCTGAACCTGTATATAACCCAGCAAGCCCCCAGGCGAAGCCAGATTTCTATTCTTGTAAATAAAGCCCCTGGACCTCTGTGTGTTGCCTCCAACCTTGTGTGCCCCGTGTATCTGGAGGCTCTGGGCAGGCTGGGACTGGGTTGCCATGTGTGACTGTGTAAAAGTTCAATCTTCTGGGTTAGATAGACCCAGTTCTGGACGTTGCTTCACACAGCTAGATGCCTGCGGCCCTCCTAGGGCTTAGATTGTTCTGTGTTCTCCCTCTCTCATGCTGGGGATGGCACCTAGGTCTCCTGTGTGCTTAGCAAGGGCTCCAGCCTTCTTACAGCAGAGGGTGATCTGTGATCTGGATTTATCTGCCCTCCTCGGCTTGGTAGTGAAGATATTGCCATAGCGAGTGCCAATAACAGTGGCCACTACTACATTACACACTGGCAACAGGCCTGGGCCCTATTTAAGGGACTATAGAATGAATTAATACTAGATACATTCTTTTATATATATATATATATAAATTTTAAAATTTTATTTGTTTCTTTATTTTGTCGTATGGGACAAAGCTCAGAGCATCCTACATGCAGGTAGTGAGCAGCTTTCTCACTGAGCTATCTGTACCCCTGGCTCTCGCCTGGGGACCTCTATTATCCTTATTTTACAGTGCAGAAGTCTGAGAAAGGGAGGCCCAGGGAGCAAGGTTGCTCGAGGTTCCGGGACTCCTGGCCTCCAGAGTCCATGTCCTGACAGACTCAGCAGGGCCCACCCCAGATTTGCCAGACATCCTGCTGTTGATTGCTAGAGCCAACAGCTAGGAAGATTTTCAGGAGGACTGACTGACTTAGCGTAACCGCTCCCGATCTGCAATCCCCAAAGCACACGGGGACATCCCATTGCTGAGGCCCTCATTGTCCTGGACACTGAAGATCATTTTATGATTTTTGTGCCCCTTCCTTTTCTTTTATCTAGAATTGGGTTCTTTATACATAAGTGTAATCTCCTGGGCAGTTGGGTGTGCCAGTCATACCTTGGGAAGAGCTGGCTCCCACCAGGTGAAGGATAGCTTATAGGCCTGAATACCCCCTGTGTTAACAGGTTCTAGGGCCGTGCTGGGGGCAGTTGAAGGTGACAAGTGAACTTATCCTACTGGGACTTGGGAGATGTCTGGGAAACCAAGCCAGAAATAGGCCACAAAAATAATTACAACGGAAAAGTATGGAGAACAAAGGAAGGGGAAGCCACGGCTCTGGGATTGAGCAACGTGATAGCTCCCTGGAGCTAGGTGGCCCTCCAGGGGGTGCATGGGTGGGGCCATCACCTGTGCGCCGCAGGGCCCCTCTCCCAGCAACACCGAACCACACAGAAGAAAGGCAGGTCCTATTCCTAACTGCTCGGGACTTCTTCGAGGGCCAGCAGAGAAGAGGGCTCTGAGGAGAGGTGGGTTGCAAGCACCATCTCTCGGGGTGTAGCGAATGTAGGGCAAGAACAGGTCCCCGCTTTCCTCCCTAGGTGGGGGCTGGGGCCTTTAGGTCGTTGGGACAGACACTCCAACATCAGGGGGAAAGCAAAGCTGCGGAGACTAGGGGATCCACAGGTTTGGTTGGCTTCCGTCCTTCCCAGTTCTCAAGGAGTTCTCCAACTCTGGCTTAGCACTGGAGAGGATCACAGACCAATGCCTGCCTAGCTGACCCCACACTGACCTCAGAGAGGATCCTCGGACTCGGCCTGAGGGTTCGGTTGGCGGCCTCAGAGGAGAGGGCTTTTGGCTTGGGGAAGGAGCCGCTGGAAGGGTTTCCAAAGATGGCCTCTCTCCTTATTCCTTTAGAAACAGGGAAAGAGTAGGCAGGAGAAGAAAGGCCGCCAGAAAGGGCGGGAGGCCTGGCAAGGTGGCCAGGCCTGAAGAGGAGGTGCCCAGGGCTGGTGCTGGGAGGGAAGGAGTTAAGGCGGAGAGGGGGGCAGCCTATGGCAGGAGGACACACCTGTTCGCAGGGCAGCAGGCGGGCGGGGCCCAGGTGAGGCGCCAGTGGTGCCCGGCAGGTGAAGAAGGAAGAGGAAGAGTGGCGGCCAGGCTGGCTCTAGGCGGTTGAATCGGGGCCTTGATACCCCTTCCTTTCTTCTGCACCACTCTGGGGGTCAGGCGGGTCTGGTGCCAGGTAAAGGCCACCGCTCACGGGGTCCTGGGACTGCGCTAGGAGCTGTAGAGCGCAGTGAACTGGTGTGTTGGGGGCTGGGACGGGCTGTGGAGTGGTAGGGGGCTGGCTCTCAGGTGGACAGCAGAGGGGTACCGGGGGGGGGGGAGCAGGGCTGCTGAAGCTGATTTTGGCCTCAAGGATGGGCAACTCGGGGTGCGCTTGGTGTTGAGTAGCAAGGCTCACCCGGAAGTGTCCCAAATGACGCGGAGGTGGGGGATGGGAGCCAGAGATCTGCGGCTTCTCCACAGGGTGCTTGGGCTTAGCCAGGACTGATCTTGGAGGTGGACTGGTTGGGCAGGGGCCCTCGTCTTACCCAGCAGTGTTTGGGTGCTGGTTGGGAGTCTCTAATACTGCCGGGTAATGATGGAGGCCCCTGTCCCCGTGTCAGCGTCGTCCATTGCTTCAGGTCCCTGGTCCCTACCTGATAGCAAACTCCTTCCTCTGCCCCACATACCCTGAAAGCCCCTTCTCCTGAGTTAAGGGTGCTGCAGAAATGGTTCTCGGGTTGGCTGCTCGCCCACCGGAGGAACACAATGGCCCCGGCCCCTCCTCCAACCCAGTGATTTGTCATCTGGTAGACTGAGAACCTACCTGACGCCGACTTTGGCCTTGGGATTGAGCACGGACCGCACTCCAAGAGTCCGCAGCCAGCCAGCTCTAGCACCTGATCAGCTGTCGTCTGGTTTTACGTTGGCCGGCTCTGGGTCCATCTTCCAGTGCAGTGTTGGATGGTTGAAGTACGAAGCTCCTAACACTGTCTGGTAAAGATGGCCCCCGGGTCAGTTCCCTCAACAGTGACCTTCCTAGAGCCTTGAAGACCGTGGAGGCCACCAGACCAGCAACCTCTGACCTTTAACCTTCTGGATGGGGTGTGTATGTGTGACTCACTTGGCAAAGGGGAACAATGGGAAAGAGACAAAATGGCTGCCTCCAGAACAGCAGCAAGATTTGGAAACACACTTGGTCCCTAGGCTTTTCCACCGTCTTTCCATCCTGGGAATGTTGAGTGTCTGTGAGAAACAAGGGATACTGGTTTCGGCCTGAGAGAAGCCAGGGAGCTGAAGCTACTGCACCCTCCAGCCCTGTCTGAGGTTCACCTTTCCTCCTATTGCTTTGATAGTTTCACATTATTTATCTACCCAGAAGGAAAAAGATGGCAAAGGTTCTAGTGAGGGTTATGAGCAATGGCTTTAACTTTCCAGTACTTGGATGTAGTATCTTCAGAATGAGGCAATCTGTGCAAAAATAGGTTCTTGTTCAGCTGGGCTCCAGGGCGGTGGGGGCGGGCAGCCCACCTCCGTAGGGATAACCCTACACGCAAATAGCTCATCGTATCTAGGGACTAAGTAGCAGTGCTAACAGTGTGCATGGCCCACAGGGCTTTGGAACACACATGATCTCCCCATAGCTACACAGAAGCTGGTAACCAAGGAAGCAGCTCCCGTTGGGGTCATCAAATTTTCAGTTTGGCTCAGCAAAGCCACAGCTGCCCCAGCTCACAAAAGATGTTATTAAATCAGCAGGTTCATTTGGTAGACACGGCGGCTGCGGTGAAGGAGTGTGTAGTTGGGCCTTTGACTGAGATCTGCTGTTCCCACCCATCTTAGCGCCTGTTTTGGAGCCAACAGGCTCTGAGGACCCGCTGTAAGGCCAGATCACTAGTACTGCCAGACTGCTTGTGCCACCTGCTGGCAGAGACCCAGAGTGCACCCTCTCTAACCCACTCAGAGGCAAAACCCTGGCTTCAGTTTAAGTAATAAAAGTTTTATTGAGAATTTCTGGGATGGTGGTTATCTCCCCCCATGGGGGTGGGACAACAGTGTAGGGAATCTCCGAGAAATCACACTTGCTTCTCCCCTCCCCCAGGCCAACACAGGGAGGAGGAAAGCCCTCAGCAACAGCTGGTCTTCAGTCTTCCTTAATCCAAGAGGGCCAAGTACAGAGGACTCTGTCACATGATGCTTGCAGGGTGGGGCGTGCTTGACCTCCCTAGCTGGCTCCTCAAAACTAGCGAGAAATGCATCCACTCCTCTGGTGGTGGAGTTCTCCAGCCCACAGCTCATTTCTTAGCCTTGATGAGGCTGTCGCTGTAGAACAAAGGAAAAATGTTCCTGATGTTATGGGCGCCATAAAGGTGAGATGCAAACCACACCAAACTATCCCCTTCCCAAAGGAAGGTCTGACTGTGGGGAGGGGAGCGCAGAGGCAGGTCTGGGAGTAGGTGGCCCCCATGTCCCAGCAGGGATGCAGTTCCTTACCTTCCCCTACAGCCAGCACATCATGGAGTCAGCAGGAAACAGAAAGAAGAGATAGACATGATTGTTAGCTTCAGGCCCCGGCTGCCCTTGACCCTTATACTAGCCCCCTCATGACTGCTCTTTTGGCTTCTGCAGCCCTGATATTTTCACTGCCAATGAAGCAGCATTCAGGTTCTCCAGCCAGAATTCCGAACTCTGTCGGTCACCACTTTTCACTGAAGTATTTATAAATAAAGTTCCTTTTACACAAGAAATCCCATTTTGTTTTGTAAAGTCAGTCCTTGAGAATGTAACAAGAGAACTGCCAACCAGTCACTGACTTTTCTGACCTTGGTGTTCAGGGAAACTGTCAAGGGCCCCATGATGAACAGATTCCAGAACCCAAGGACCCTGCTCTCTGCACAGCCATCTCTTACCGAGTAAAGCTTTCATCCTGTAGATTCAGCACAAGGTTGTCGGCCGTGAGATAGATGCGGTTCTGGGAGGTGGCGATCTACAGGACAGGGAATGGATCCTGTGTTAGAGGCCTCAAGCCTCCCTGCCATTCAGTGGCCCACCCAGTAACCAACAAGAGGCTCCTGCTCTGTCTGGTAGAGGACACAGCAGTGAGAAGCCTCGGTGTCACACTTCCGTAACACACCCTACAAACACAAAGTCTGAGGAGTCACTCTTGGGGAAGGCACCAAGGAAGTTGTCCAAGTGAAGAGTAAAGTCAAGCTCTAATCCCATCGTGTGATTGTAACTGGATACTTTCTCTCTCAGTGGGCAGTCTTGGGAGAGTGGGGTCTTCCTCTCACCGTCTTAGATATGTTCTGGGCGGCCCGGATCTTTCGGAGCTTGATATAGCCGGGATTCTTGCTCAGTGCTTCTCCAAGGTAAGCAGGCAGGGTTAAGGGTTCATCTAGGCTAGGTTACACCCGCCACAATGTGCGCCCCCCCACCCGCCCTGACCCCTGAGCTGTCAGATTCAAGGTTGCGCTCACATAAGCCACTCACACTTTGGCCACTCTCTGTGGGCCTCCCTGCAGGCTGCTGCCAAGAACTGTGGTGGCAGCAGACATGAAAGCAAGGCCAGCAATGTTAGTGATCTGTTTAAAAGCGGGGAGTCAGGTCTCAGGTACCCCCACCAAGATTTCAGATCTCATCATCCCCCCTCCCCCGCCAAGGGTCAGCAGGCACAGTCGCATTCGCCTTGGTCTCATCAGCCAGCCCATGAGGGAGGATGGAAAGCGGAGGGGCCCAGGGGCCAGGCCAAGCTCTCTGCAACACAAGGATATCATCTTGGCAGCCTCAGCCTCCCCCTCAGCCTGCACGATCTTCTGTCGCTGTTCCTGCTTTGCTTTTTCCACCAAAAACTGGGCCCGCTGGGCTTCTTGCTGGGCTGTGGTGGCAAGTGAATGAATGAAGTTATGGCTGTGGGGTGGCAAGACTCCAACCACACGCAGTCCCCTTCTCTCACCTCCAGGAGCCCATTGATCTACTCCTCAGGTGGCTTACCCACTTGTTTGGCTTCTACAGCAGCTGTGTACTCTCGGCTAAAGCTCAGCTCGGTGATAGCTACATCGTCCAGAATGAGACTGAAGTCCTTGGCGCGTTCTGTGAGCTCTCTTCGGATCAACAGGGACACCTGGGCAAGAGTAGGGAAGGGAAGGGAGGGGTGGCTTGAGGGGATCAGAACTGGAAGGAAGGTGGTATTGCTACAACCACCCGAATACCAGAGCTCCCGAGTATGAACAGCAAAGCCACCCCTTCTTAAGTCCTCACACATTCATTAGAAAATCTGATTCAATGTCTTCATGTGACAGAAGAGGACCAGAAAGGTGGCATGACTGCCCCATGTCACACTGACCCCTAATCTTCCCTTTCTTCCATGCAATATATATATATCAGCTTAGCTTCCTGCCAAACAAGAAAAGAATTTCTTTAGATGTGGGTAAGACTATTATAACCATTGTTTCCTCCTATGCTTCCTTCTTAACACCTGGTATCGGGTTCTAGAGTTGTTTCGCTTTATTTCCCAGAGTGATAATCAGCACAGCTTTCCCACATCAAATTGGCTATGCAGCCAAAGATAACCCTAAACATCTATGATCTTCTTGCTGCTACCTCCAGAGTGCTGGGGTCATAGGCGTGTGCTACACCTGGTTTAAATAATGCTTAGGATTAAACCCAGGGCTTGTGTATGTACGCTAGGCAAGCACTCACCAGCTGAACTACAGCTCCACCCCCACATCCTTCTACTTCTATAAAATGCCCTTTTAGTACCCAGGACCATGCAGACAGCACTAGGAATCAGACCTGAGCCCGCTGGGTAATCAGCTGCGAGGCATTGAACTTGGCCACCACACTCTTGAGCACCTCGTTGACAATGGACGGCAGCACTCGCTCCTCATAGTCTAGCCCGAGGCGCTGGTACATGCTGGGGAGCTCCTGGGCATTGGGTCGAGACAGTACACGCAGGGAAATGTTCACCATCTGCAGGTCTAAGGGCGAGGCCAGTAGTGACTGGTTAAGGCAAGTTCCCCATCAGCGGACCCCCAGGCTTTTGCTACTGTACTGGGTGCAACCTCCAGTGTGGGCACAACTGTGGGTCTCCCCCTAGACTCCAAGGACTTGAGGACCAGAGCTGTCAATTTTCTACTCCCAAGGCCTATGACTTAGCAAATGAATGCATGACACACATCAAAAACAGCACAAAGAAGCACAGTGCTGTGGGCCACTTGCCTCTGAGTGTACGCGTGAATGAGGCAGGGCTCCTAAGTATGGTCTACAAGGAAGCAGCCAGTGAAGAGTGGAGAGTTTCTCCAGAGCCAAGATACACTGCGGATGTACTCAACCAGTCAACAGAAAAAGGCCTTAAAAAGACTTGCACCAGGGAGCAAGGACGACCATAAAGAAAGGCAATTCTAGGATCCAGTTTGTTAGGCAGAAAGTACGTCAAAACTGTTCTGCCCAAATCCGCGAAGTCCCCTAAAACCAACAAGGACACTGAGTCCCGTATGTAAAAGCAAAGAGTATTTTAATCAAGTTTGCAAACTCAGTCTCTCCGCATGTCCAACATATTGGAATAACCGGAAAGCCCCGAGCTCAATTAGAACTGGGTTTTTATAGTAGTAAAGTGGGGGTGAGGGGCTTTTGTGAGGTTTAGGACCCCTGATTGGCTGACATTTGTCTAGGGGTGTCCGGGTGAATGTGTGCTGGCAGGTAGGTGGTCCTATCTACAGCGGTTGGAATGTTAGGCATTTCCTTCAAACTACTGAGATTCAGACCTCTTATTAAATTTATTGAGGGCCAGAGTTCTACTATAATGGTTGGGGAAATAAAGAACTTTCTTTGGGTGACCTGTTCATACCTGTGGCTGACCCCACAAAAACGTGCCAGCATACCGCGTGTTGGAACTACTGTTTTAAGCCATGAGGCACGCTCTTTGGAAGATACAGAAACCAAGACCTCAGAAACACTACCATTTCTGGTGGCTTTGCCAGGCTCAGTTTGTTTACTTGTGTCCCCACCTGCCATGCAGCTTCCGATTGCCCACACTTACCTTTGGAACCTGTAGGGGAGGAGATTTTTCGGGGTCTGGCCCGAATATCATAGATGATGGGGTACTGGAACCAGGGGATCCTGGAGAGGAGAGGTCAGGGACAGGAGTTGGGAAATTGCAGTTTTATTGATTTTTGACCAGTTTTCCCCCTCCACTCGTCTTGGGGCCTGCTCCTCCCCATGACCACAGACAAGGAGATTCTCTTTTCCCTTTGGAGAACAGCCCTTTATGCACTGCTGGAGTTTCGGAGCACCCACTGTCCTAGGAGCGCGGTGGGGGGGTGAGTGAGGAAGGGAAAAAGCAGCTCTGAAGCCTGCAGTTAAATCTGGCCACAGCCGTCAAGGGTGAAGGGTCAGGGCCCGTTTGCTCTGCCCGCCATTACCTAAAGTGAAGTCCCTCGGCCAGGATTGTGTCCTGTTGCACGCCGCCGATCCGGTTAAAGAAGATGGCTCTATGACCACCTTCCACTGTGGGGAGAGGGGTGGGAATCAGGAGAAGGCGTTGACGAAAGTACTGGTCGGCGCAGAAGGGACGGGGATGCGGGAATGGGTAGGCGCCGACAGCTTGGGGAGGCAGGTCAGTGGGGTAGGGGACCAAGAGGTGCAGCCAGCGAAGGAGGTTGCTCACCGGTGAACACGGATTCGCGCACGCCGTAGGCCACGGCCCCGGCCCCCAGCAGCAGCTTCAGCGCCATGCCCATGCCCCGAGGCCCGGCGGGCAGGCGTCCCGCTAAATCCTTTAAGTTCTGAGCCATGTCTGGTCCTCCCGAAGGCGGCGGCACCGGAGGTCAGGAGGGGGTGCCCGCCAGCCTCTACCCCACTCCAGTTTTCAGACCTCGCCCTGCACACGAGGATTGGGGGCCGTGGTGCTCGCAGGAGAAAGGGCACCGGAAGTGCGCTTCCCCCTGACCCGCCCCTTTGCTTAGGCGGACCCGAACTTCGCGCACAGTAATAGCGCATCCGGAAGTCCCGCCTCCTTCGGAGGCGTGTCCTTCGGTAGGTCCGGACTACTGCTATCGCCATTTCCAAGCGCCCTCGTTCAAAATGGCAGCTGGGAGGAAGTTTGCAGTGAGGACCGACGCGAGGTTCTGGTTTAAGGAAGTTAGCGCAATTTCCGGTCTGCTTACAAGATGGCTGCGCCCAGTGGTGGTTTCCAACCTCGTGAACGGCGTTTTGCAGCGCAGGAGCAGGATTGGGATAATGCGCCGCCTAAGAGACCCCGGTTTGGGGCAGGAAGCAAGAGCGGAGGCCGTAGACTCATTGTGGTGCTGGAAGGCGCCAGTCTGGAGACAGTCAAGGTAGTTTGGAACAGAGTGTGGAGTAGTAAGTCGATTAGGTTCTGTGGGGACCAGGGACACAGGATGGATGGAAAAAACTGAGCAGTGAAATTTGAAGGATGACCTAGTTTCGCAGGCTGCTGGAGTCCTGGGCTGGCAATCTTTTATTTTGCTCTTCTTGACGCATTCGCGCTTTCACCTTGCTTTTAGTTGACTTATCAGGGAGTCTGTGGTATAAAGTGGAAAGTGAGGGAGGCGTTACCTATTAAGGTCTCAAATCCCAAAGGCCAATGACTTTCCAGCCTTTTATTGCTAAGGATTTAGTATTTTATTTTGGTAAAAAGACTCTTCTATCAGCTTGTTCTACATTTCTGCTTATCTTGAAGCATGTTTGGATCAATTATTTAATAAGCCTTCGCCTTTATTTTTTTAATCTATCATTTATTTCCCTGAGCGTAGTCAAATGAGCAGTCTTATCTTAAAACTTTGTGCAGTGTTTGTGTATGTCTGCTAGCACGCGCACACACACTCACACCCTACCCCCTTTAAAGATTGGTTTTACTTTTACCTATCTATGTGTGCAAGCCTGCATTTGATTGTGAGGCACCTATTAGTGATGGGAACCCAAGTTGGGTCCTCTGCATGACTCACTCCTAACACCACCCACCGCCATCTCCAGCCCCTTTATTCCATCTCTTGTGTCTCACCTTTCAGAGCTAAACTTCTTTGGTGTGTAGGGCCAGAAGTTTATACACACAAACACACGTTGGTTGGTTTTGACATGCAGCCAAGGTTGGCCTGGAACTCTCCATACTCAGCCTCCAAAATACGAGAAATGATTGCTTGTCGGTGATTTTCACCATTCCTGACCTGACCTGGATTCTAATTTTGGTCCTTAGTGACGGTAAGGAAAGTGTGTCCTCACGTTGTAAAGCTGTGGTGTTTCCTAATAACTGAAGTGAGTCTTGTCCATCTTCTCTTCATTTGTGTGTGTGTGTGTGTGTGTGTTTTTCGAGACAGGGTTTCTCTGTGGTTTTGGAGTCTGTCCTGGAACTAGCTCTGTAGACCAGGCTGGTCTCAAACTCACAGAGATCCGCCTGCCTCTGCCTCCCGAGTGCTGGGATTAAAGGCGTGCGCCACCATTGCCCGGCTTCATTTGTGCCTTATTAAAAGTTTGTGCTTTATTAAAATTTGCAGTTAGAAAACCTGTTTGTTTTTCAAGACAGAGTTTGTCTGTGTAACAGTCTTGGCTGCCCTGGAATTCTTTGTAGACCAGGCTGGCCTTGAACTCAGAGATCCACTTAACTCTGCCTCCCAAGTGCTGGGATTAAAGTGGTACACCACCTATTTATTTTTATGTGCGTTGGGGTTTTGCCTGCATGTATGTCTGTGCAAGGATGCCAGATCCCCTGGAACTGGAGTACAGGCAGTTGTGAGATGCCATTGGGTACTGAGACTTGAACTCGGGTTCTCTGAGTCATCTCTCCAGCCCCTATTATTATTATAGGCAGGGTCTCAGTGTGTGACTCTGAGTGACCTGGAACTTACAGATATCTGCCCGTCTCTGCACCTCAGTGCTGGGATTAAAGGCGTGCACCGCCACATCTGACTGCCTATTAATGTTAATTTTGACAGTGTTCCTAACTGCTGAGCCATCTCTCCAGCCCCACTTTAAGTTCTTTGAAAGCATTAAGTTCTCTTCTACCTTGAGGACATTGAATGTTGGTAACTGCAAACTCTTTTTATAGTGGCTTTTGTATCACTATTACTTCGTTATTGTTTTGAGATAGATATATGGTCTTACCATATAACCTAGACTGGTTAGAACTTGCCATCCTTCTGCTTTTGCCTTAGCCTCCCGAGTGCTGGAATTGTAGGTATGGGGCACCATATTTGGCTAATTATTGAGTATCTGTTGCTGTTCTACTTTACTTTGTCTTGTTTTTCAAGACAGGGTTTCTCTGTAGCTTTTGGAGGATGTTCTGGAACTGAACTTGCTCAGTAGATCAGACTGGCCTCGAATTTACAGAGATCTGCTTGTCTCTGCCTCCTGAATGCTGGGATTAAAGGCGTGCGCCACCACTGCCCGGCCTGTTTTACTTTTTGAGACAGGCCCTCACCCTCTACCTCATGCTGGCCTAGCACTTGGTGGCCTCCTGGAGGCTGTGATTACAGGTGTGAGCTCCCACATCTAACTGGTGCTGCTGCTGCTGCTTCCTCTTCATAGTGGTTAGGCCAAGGAACTGCTGTATCACAGGCTGCGAGATGGCTTAGTTAGTGGACTGTTTGCCATGCAAACATGGGGACCTGAGTTCTAACCCCAGCAACTATGTAAAACGCCCAGTCCATGCTGGGCATGCTCTTGTATGCCTTTAATTCCAGCTCTCGCTGAGACAGATGGGGAGGCAGATCCAGGCCAGCCCAGGATACATAGAGAGACCCTGTTTAAAAAAAAGAGAGAGAGAAAGAGAGAAAGAGGGGCTGGAGAGATGGCTCAAGTGGTCAGAGGACCTGGGTTCAATTCCCAGCACCCAAGTGGCATCTTACAATTATCTGTAACTTTGGTTTTAGGGAACCTGCCACCCTCACTCAGGCATACATGCAGGCAAAATACTAATACATATAAAAATAAATTTTAAAGAAAGAAAAAGGTCCATCTCACCGGGCGGTTGGTGGCGCACGCATTTGGGAGGCAGAGGCAGGCGAATCTCTGTGAGTTTAAGGCCAGCCTGGTCTACAAGAGCTAGTTCCAGGACAGGTTCCAAAGCTACAGAGAAACCCTGTCTTGAAAAACCACAAAAAAGAAAGAAAAGAAAAACAGTCCATCTCAATTTGAAATTCCAGCATTGGAGAAACAGATGAATCCCTAGGGCTTGATGGCCTGCCAGCTCAGCTGAATTGGTGCGCTCAGGTTCTGTAAGGAACTCTCTCAGAAGAGAGGAAGACTCCAGACACCAACCTGTCCTTCTCCTGTGCACACACGGCTGATGTAGGAGTTGAGCGGTGACAGTGGAATGGTACCTCCTATATACTTCCTGTTATCAAGGAGCCATTTTTGTGTATCACAGCTTGTGGAGTCATGTGATTGTTTACTGTGTTTCTCTGAGAGCAGACTATAACATTTCAAAATTTCCGTTGTATCTTTAAGAAACATCTTGATGTTTTCTATTGTGGCTCTTTAAAAGAAAATCCGGGCCTGGAGAGATGGCTCAGTTGGTTAAGCAGATCCTTCTTGCAGAGGATCCAGGTTCAGTTCCAGCACTCATTTGACGGCTCACAAACATCTGTAACTCCAGTTCCAAGGGATCTGATGCCTTCCTTTGACCTTTGGAGGCACCAGGCATGCAGGCCAAACATTCATACACGTAAAACTAAGTAAATCTCGAATCAGAACAAAACCTCCAGTTTTATCATACTAATGGACTGAAACTGGATCATACAAAAGGTTCATTTTCTTCTATGATTAAGGGTATCCTAAGAACACGTTCTTGATCATTTGTTCTGCCTTTATTTTTTTGTTTTTTTGAGACATTTTCTCTGTGTAGCCCTGGTTGTCCTGGAACTCACTGAGATCTGCCTGCCTCTGCCTCCAAGCGCTGAGATTAAAGGTGTACACCACCACCACCCGGCCCTATTCTGACATTTTATTTAAGAATTGTTTCAGCCAGGCGATGGTGGCGCACGCCTTTAATCACAGCACTCAGGAGGCGGAGGCAGGTCTCTGTGAGTTCGAGACCAGCCTGGTCTACAGAGCTAATACCAGGACAGGCTCCAAAGCCACAGAGAAACCCTGTCTCGAAAAACCAAAAAAAAAAAAAAAAAAAAAAAAGAATTGTTTCTATTTATGTGTATGCCTGCATGAGTTTATGTGTACTACGTGTTTAGGCACCTTAGCTGGTCAATCAGTCAAAGATCTGGAGCAAGAGCAGGTGATTGTGGGTGGGCACTGGGAACTGAACCAGGTCCTCTGCAAGACCAAGCGCCACAGGTGCTCTTTCTCTCTCAGTCCTTGCTCTAACTTATGTGGGGCTGGAGAAATGAACGGCTCAGCAGTTAAGAGCAGTGGTTGCTCTTCCAAAAGACCAGGTTCAATTCCCAGCACCCATATGGTGGCTTACATACTAACTCCAGTTCTAGGGGATCCAGTGTCCTCTTTCAGCTTCCACTGGCACTTCATGTATGTGGTGTGCAGGCATACATGTAGGCACGCATGTACAAAAATAAAACTATTTATTTCTAACTGCATATGTGTGTGTACCACATGTGTTTGCCCTTGAAGGCCAGAGTGTTCAGATGGGTGCTAGGAAATCAAATCCGGGTCCTCTGCAAGAGTGATGTCTCTTAACCACCGAGTCATCTCTCCTACTATTTGATTATTAATTTCAAAACTTCACTCTCCCAAATATTTAGAAATGTATTGTCACTTTATCTTTAGACATGAAAAGCTCTAGTGATACACTACCTTGCAGAGCCTGTGTTTGTACATAACTATGTTTTTTGGTTGTTTCAAAAAATTTCCCAGCCAATGTGTTCACTCACTGACAACCAGAGGGGGTAAGGGGTAGGTTTTCTACCGTGTGGGTTCTGGGGAATGATCTCAGGTCAGGCTTGGCAACAGGTCCTTTACCTGCTGATGGCCATGTTTATAGACTTCTTTTTGCATGTGGTGTGTGTGTACTCGAGTGTGTGTGGAGGTCAAAGGACAGGTTGTTGGTTCCCTCCTTTCACCCAGTACCCTTGTCTGCTGAGCTCTCCAGCCAGGTCTACACTTGGTCTTACCATCCTCATGTCCCTTGAGATTTTAAACTGAAATTGACAGAGTCCAGCCCTGAGCAGCCCTCACTTGCCCCTTTTATGGCATGCATGGACATGCAGGGCACTTCTCAGGTGTCACATACTTCTGACACTAGAACTTTTGGCTCTTTGCTTGAGAGGGTTCTTGGGTTACAGGGCAATTTTATATATAAACCTAGTTCTCCAGCGCCTTCCCATTTTATTCCAACTTCCATGCTTTTATTTCGTACTGCTGGGGATGAAATAAGGGCCGTGCTGAGCCCTCTGCCACTAAGCTACAGTACCCCTTTTTCTCAACGATTTGCTTATTGAGTTTTTTTGGTTGAGGCAGGGTCTTGCTGTAGCCCAGGCTGGCATGTTCTCAGCACATACATATACATACTGTTCTTATGATGAGTCTTTTTCATGAACTCCTGATTCTAGAACTTCCGTGACCTTGCCTGATAGCCACAGGCCTTAAAAAGTCAATGTGGTGTGTCTTTATACCCCTCCTTTTTGGCTGTAAGATAGTTGGCTCTGTGTCTGTCTCTTACAGATAAAGCTAAATGTAGCCACATGCTAATGCCCTGAGAAGCTTTCTAGCCCTACTTAGTGTTTTGTCTTAGGTCTAGAGTGGGCTTGAATTTGTCATGATGCTGATCATTCAGGGACCACACCTTGAACTACTGGGCGAGATAATTGAATTCCCGTTGCTCTCATGTTCTCTGTTCTGCAGGTAGGGAAAACTTATGAGCTACTCAACTGTGACAAGCACAAGTCCATGTTGTTGAAGAATGGACGGGACCCAGGGGAAGTCAGACCAGACATCGCCCACCAGGTAACTGGGATAGAGCCAATGGCCTCTGAGCTGTCTACAGAAGGCAGCAACACTGCTGTTTTCCCGGCTTCACAGTACCCTGCTGTCTCCCTTTCTCAGAGCTTACTGATGCTGATGGACAGCCCCCTGAACCGAGCTGGCTTGCTCCAGGTTTATATCCATACACAGAAGAACGTGCTGATTGAAGTGAACCCCCAAACGCGAATTCCTAGAACCTTCGATCGCTTTTGTGGCCTCATGGGTGAGAAGCCTTAGGACTTAAGTTCTGAGTGAACTTGGCAAAGTGAAGACAGGAAAGGGGTCACATACTCAGTCCGTCAGCAGTGGGGAGCTACTGCCAGAACAGGCCCCTGGTAGTTTTCCACATATATGGAGATTTGACTCCTGTTCTTAGGTTTCTGTGTGAGGGATAAAGTTGACAAGCCTGACAGTGTCTGTTCGGAACATCTCTGAGGATACAATGCGGATGTAAAGGGACACATAGCCTAGTTTCCGGGGAGGGGTGTTCTCTGCAGGTCACTGGGAGAATGTGATTTCATCCCACTTCTGAACTCTCGCTTTTCCCCTTCCTAGTTCAGCTTTTACACAAACTCAGTGTCCGAGCAGCTGATGGCCCTCAGAAGCTTTTGAAGGTGAGCTGGGAAAACCTGTTGGTAGGTTCTGGGGCTGGTTCTGGGGCTGATTCTGGGGCTGACTTTGCTTTTTCTTCTTAGGTAATTAAGAATCCGGTGTCTGACCACTTCCCAGTTGGCTGTATGAAAATTGGCACTTCCTTCTCCATCACAGACGTCACTGATGTGCGAGAGCTGGTGCCCAGCAGTGACCCAGTTGTTTTTGTGGTGGGGGCCTTTGCCCACGGCAAGGTACAGTCTGGCTTCTCTGACGTTTCTGCCGTGTCTCTAACAGACAGAGCTAGAATCTCCAGTTTTTGTAGAAGTTTGAGATTGAAATATACTGCCGTTGAGACAGTAGCTCACCTATGAGGTCTGAACCCGCTACAGGGAAGCATTGCCTGACCAGCTCCTTCTCTCTCAGGTCAGTGTGGAGTACACAGAGAAGATGGTGTCCATCAGCAACTATCCACTTTCTGCTGCCCTTACCTGTGCCAAACTTACCACAGCCTTTGAAGAAGTATGGGGTGTCATCTGAGAGCAGCAGAGCCTAGTTCAGACAGGACTCTTGGCGTTACGTCTGTGGACTCCTAATGTGTCTGCTGGAAGATCATCTTCTGTACCAAGATGGCAGAGTGGGAGCCAACACTGTATTTCCTATAAAGACTGTGCTTTTTTCCTTTTTTGCACACCTGATTGTTTTGAGGGTTCTTAAACTCAGCAGTACATGGTAGTGTAAACTGTCCCCCTTGGGTTCTGCTGTTCCGGACTTTGAAGGTAGGCCTTCCCGATATCTTAGATTCTTGTGCTCTCGAGGAGAGACCCCGATGAGCTCAGCTTCAGCGAGCACAGCAAACATGTATGAAAGAAAGCAGTCAGGAATGCTAACAGTGAAAAACTGAACAAACAGAAGTGATTTATCTGGTATAGTTCCAAGATAGAAAAAGTGGAGCAGGCAGGGCCTTGTACCCTCCCCTCCCCCCATGGGGGGGTGGTATCGGCACATATACAATCGTAGTGGATTGGCAGAAGAGAAACAACAGGTTCCTGGCTAGAGGGAAGAGATAAGGCAACGTGCATGGGGGAGTCCAAAGGGGGTGCAGCCCCTCTGCTCCTCCCACAAGAGCTTCTCCTTTGGCCCGGTGAACTTGGCTGTAGCAGAGGCACGGCTGGGAGTGCTGTGACGTCCAGTGCCCGGTGTCTGCTCTGGGGTGAGGAGTGCTGTGAGAAGGGACAAGTAGTTTCTGCACCAGTCCAGCTCTCGGCCACCTAAAAGGCGAAGTGTGTGGTTAGAAGGGTGGCCAGAATAGCACCTGGTCCCTTCTAGCGAGTATAGAAGTACCCCAGAGCGCTCCCTAGTGGCCAAGCTATGCTAATCCACCCGAATCTCCAATAGCATTCCAAGCCGTCACCTGTAGACTACTTACCAGGGAAATCTATTATTCCCTTTTCTTTAACTTTTCTTTTCTTGGCACCATTGCTTTGTGAACATAAGGCAATATGAATAGCAGGCTGAAGAAAAAGACATGTCCAAGGAAGTACACAGATCTGTACACCTGTGGAGACAGACCGCAGAAAGAGTTGAGCCTGCTTGTCTCTCACTACTGGAGGTTTTGGTGACTCTGGCAGCCTTGCAGTCAGGTCCTCGCTACCTTAAGCCACTTGTCCCAGGTGAAGAGACAGAAGGCAGTCATGGAGTAACCCATAAAGAGCCAGTGGATGGTCTGTTGCACCAAGTAGTAGAAGGGCTGCAGGGCAGTGATGGAGGCCAGGCTGCTCAGGGTGGGGCTCTCCTGAATGAGGTTGGCGGCCTGGGGAGGGAGGGTAGAGGTCATTAGTCTTGTCCTTATCCCCAACCGGTTTCCTACCGCCCTTGAGTCCTACCTGCTTTTCTACAATAACAATGAGGAATTCCATCTGGAAGCAAATCAGGTATCCTGAGTGTAGGCCGTGCCAGAGGGCCAAGAACAGCAAGGAGAGGCCTTGTGAGAGTTCTTTACTTCCAAGAAACTTGAGGCGTTTGAAGATGTAACTAGAGAAGAGGGTGGGTAAGGATGAACCTCAGACTTGACTCCTGCTTCTGGGCTCTGCCCCAGGAGAGGAGTGCTGACTGGCTCCCACTTGTGGCCACTGGGGGTACAGGAGGCAGTGCTAATAGGAAGGCTTGAGATGGAGGAAAGCTGTCATAGTTCAGATGCAACAGAGGGACTATGGGTATGACACAAACAAGGGCAAGACCAGGATCTGCAGCCAAGGCTTGAGGGACTTTTCCAGTGTTTTTTTGGGTGGGGCTGCCTGGGTGAGAATGGAGGCTTAGCAGAGAGATAGGAAGCATGGGCAGAGCCGACAAAGCATCCTTGTCCTCAGTGCTTACCGGGCCACCCAGGCATTGGTGTTGATGTTGAAGGAGGCGATGGTGCCAGTGAAGCGAGGAGTTGTCTCAAAGAGCCACACTTTCATGTTGGCACAGGCGTCCCATTTTGCGTTCCCATTTTCAATGCCATTAAAGCCCAGCCCCGACAAAATGCACACTCCTTCCTGAGGGGAGGGACGGCTTAGGGTTCTTGTCACTCCACCCTCCCAGCCCCACCCCCAGCTTGTCTAAATATGACTTATCTTCCCTACTTACCGTGACCAGCCAACAGGTGACGTATTTGTAGAGCACGAATTTGCCCCAGATCAGCATGTACATGCAGCGGAACCAGAAAGGGTGGTGCTTGAGAAGAGAGCACATGAGCATCAGGGACGGCACAGTCCCCTACATGGTATTCTCAAACTTGGGGCTGGCTTCTTTGCTCCTAGCAGTGCCTGATGCCACATGTGCCACGACACTATAGCCCTACCTATCTGTAAGCAGCAGAGAGACGCCAATAGCCACCCGCCTCTGGCTTTGCAAAGTCTGGGCGTTTATACGGTCAGTACAGGGATGTCCACAGTCCTTGGATGCTCACAGTCCGTGTTAATTTTCAGATAGCTACCCAGAATGGACATGGAACTGCTGGGAGGTTTTCAGGGGAACTGGAGCAAGAGCCACTTTTCCCTCCCTCTTTGAGCCCATCAGTCAAATGAAAGCAGACTGCAGAGCCACCAGCCACTGCACTCTTGCATAAAGCAAGGCAGAGGCTGTTTTAGGTGCTGCCCCGGACCCATGAAGGTTTGTTCCTGCAGGTGAGGCCTGGGTGGCATTGATGTCAACTCTCACAGACCTAGAGCAGAATCCAGCACACATCTCTAGGTGGCATGGCCTACTTCTCTCTTATCCCATTTGGTGAGGCAGTAGTCACAGTGGTATGCTGGCAGCCACTCACATCATAGTCTTCAGTGAGAAGGTAGTTTTCCGTGATGTGGGGGCTCAGCAGGGTGTAGCCCACCAGGTAGACAAGGCCCAGACCCAGGCGCTTGAGAGCAGGTATGGTGCTGGAAAGGAACAAGTGGGTCACACACAGCAGAGCCTCGCCCTTCACCCTCTGACCTGCAGTCACGGAAAGGAGCATTTCAGGGTGTGGTTACTGCAGGCAGTGGCACCAGGATCCTGTGCCTGGAGCTGTTTCCAGGAAAGACAGCTGTGTGCTTGGCCACTGCAAACCTGCATTACAGGAGTGAGGGCAGGGCAGAGGGAGCCATGTGTGGGGTGCTTGTGCCTAACCCTCAGAGCATGCTTGAGTTGGAATCTCACCAGGCGTCATGTACAGAACAACTAGCAATGTCCACTCCTGCTCAAGTCCAGGGGCCAAGTTCCCTGAAGGAGTTCTAAAGTATATACCTATATCTATATATTATACATTTTTGTATATTGAACAGTGTCTCCCTACTATGTGAGAGGAGGCTTCAAAGGGAGGGGCATAAGGTGGGCAAATGGCTGGGGCAGTGTACACTGGGGAGCATGTAGACACCTCCCACATGGCACTGTAGTGGGGCCAATGTGCTAGGGCCGGCCTTCAAGAAAGTCACTTCAGAAGTCACAGAAGTCTTCAACCAGGAGGAGCAGTTACCTGTTTGGTGTCTTCCCTGGCCTGTCAGTCAGCTGTCCCTGCACCAGCTTCAGGTAGTGGTTCATAGAGAACTGGGGCCCTACCAAGAAGGCTCCATAGAAGTAGGAGAAGCCAGCAACTTCCAGCAGGGAAGGGACACCCCGTATGGCGTGTTTCTGTTGCTCAGGGGACAGGGAATTCTGTGTTGAGAAGAGAATGCAAGGTTCAGAACAGACTTGAATCTTACCCTAAGCCAGTCTGAGCACTCCCAACCTTTGCACCACTGCCTGGAATTCTTTAGTTTGGCTTCTTGCGGGGCAGGGGTGGAGGGTTGCTCCATGCAGAAATGTGGGGAGCTTAATCAACAGCTGCCCGTGGCTGCTGTGGCAGATGCCTCGCTGGCACCGAGCTCTGGACTTTGTGTAAAGGCTGGATTCTGACAAGTCACCCTGCTTGGTCCTTGCCCAGTTGCTATCTGAAAGGTAGCTCACAGGCTAGGGAGTGAGGCAGAGGCAGGTCCAGTCTTTTGGTGACAGTAGCCTTTCTCCTTCCCTCTGGTTAATCCTTAGCCTCTTTGCCAGAGTGCACACTTACCACGTCTTTGCCTCCATCATAGTAGTCAATGCACAGACCTGAGCAGAGAGAGGGGAAGGGGAGAGGAGACATGAGGGTGTGGTCTGAGGACAGAAGCCAGGACCGACAGGAACTCAGTCTAGTTAGTTTATTTTAGCTTGGGGGGGGGGGGATGAGGTAGAGGAGGAAGGCAGGACCCTTCCACTCACCAATGAGTTTCAATGTCAGGACACAGTGTGGCATCGTCCACTTGATATCGTAGTCACCAGTGGCTGTGTAGTAATATCCAGCGAGAAGGTAGGCCTGGGAGAGGGGAAGTCTTTACTCCACCATCACTGTACTGCTCTTCCTTTTCCTCCTTTCCCTCTTTCTTTGGATGGCCTTTGACCTCCAGCTGACAGTCACATCATAGTGTGGTCTTAGCCTTCCAAGCCTATGCCACCAGGCTTGACCTCTTAATTTTCCCCTTCACTTGAAATCCCCTGTATTCCTTCATTTTCCTTTCTCCTGGTCCCATCAGTTAAAACATTAAGAGGGTCTTATGAGCCAGGCCTGTTGGTGCAGACTGAGAATCCTGGCACTTGAGAGGGACTGAAGCCAGTTTGAGCTATTCAGTTTGAATCTGGCCTCAGTTACAGAGTGAGACCTACCTCAATAAATAAAAATAAGACGACCCTACAAATGTTTTTTCAGACCGCAGTGAGGATGGGCTTGCTTGGGGAGACAGATGGACATGCCTAGCTTCTCCAGCACATTCTAAATTACTTTTCTGCCCTGCCTTTGAGTGACTGCCCTCATGGCCAGCTGGGCTAAACCTGGTGAGAACCAAGGAAGCCCGGTGATGGCATAGTCCAGAGGCCAGCAGAGTTACTCCTACAACCTGCTCAGGGCCTGTGACCAGCGACCTGCCCACAGCCAGACTGCCATGTGGTAGAAGGAGGGATTACAAACTAGATCTCCTGGTCACCATGCTACCACCCTCTGCCTTGCCCCTCCCCACACCTGCTGTCCATGCAACCTGAGCTCCTAGGAGAAAAGTTTACCATCTGGAAGCAAAGGGTGGTGAAAACGGCAGTGACGGTGCGGCCCATGAGTCGCAGGATGAGGAACTGGAGTACAATACATAGCAGGGAGTGGTAGAAC